GATTTTCAGAAGTGCTGAAGCATCCACAGATATCAAACTTCAGCTACAATTGTGGGTGCTCGGTGCTTCTGACAAATCAGGCACATAGTGTTCATTCTCAAAATTGCCAGGCCATCAGCCTGCCTCCAATTCTCCTTATGTTTACAAAAAGAACAGGAGTACTTGTGGCACCTTAGAGACCAACACATTTATTTACAGCCCACTTCATCGGATGCATAGAATGGAACACACAGAAAGAAGATACTTATACACACAGAGAACATGAAAAGGTGGGAGTAGCCATACCAACTGTAAGAGGCCAATCAATTTCATGTTCTCTGTATGTATAAGTATCTTCTTTCTGTGTGTTCCATTCTATGCATCCGATGAAGTGGGCTGTAAATAAATTTGTTGGTCTCTAAGGTGCCACAAGTACTCCTGTTCTTTTTGCGGATACAGACTAACAAGGCTGCTACTCTGAAACCTGTCCTTATGTTTACAGTGACACCTACTGACTGCAACCAGATCACAGAGAGAGAAGGTGGGCAAGGTCATCTCTTTTACTGGAGCCACTTCTATTAGTGAAAGAGAGAAGCTTTCAAGCTCCACAGAGCACTTCTTTCCCAGACCTGAAGAAGAGCTCTGTGAAGCTTGAAAGCTCGTCTCTTTCACCAACAGAAGTGGGTCCAATAAAACAGCAGTTCTCAACGAGGGGTACGCAGAGGTCTTCTAGGGGGTACATCAACTCATCGAGATAGTTGCCTAGTTTTACAACGGGCTACATAAAAAACGCTAGCAAAAATGTCATACAATGACTTGTTTATACTGCTCTATATACTATACACTGATCTGTAAGTACAATATTTATATTCCAATTGATTTATTTTATAATTACATGGTAAAAAGGAGAAAGTAAGCAATTTTTCAGTAATAGTGTGCTGTGACACTTTTAGAATCATAAAATCATAGAATCTCAGGGTTGGAAGGGACCTCAGGAGGTCATCTAGTCCAACCCCCTGCTCAAAGCAGGATCAACCCCAACTATTGGTGTACATGAGAACATACAAATTTTGTATTTGTATGTCTGATTATGTAAGCAAGTCGTTTTTAAGTGAGGTGAAACTTGGGGTTAGACAAGACAAGTCAGACTCCTGAGAGGGGCACAGTAGTCTGGAAAGGTTGAGAGTCACTGCAATAAAAGATATTACCTCAACCACCTTTCCTCTCTCATATCCTGGGATCAACACTGCAAACTCCACATTATAGAGGTACTCCAGGCTGCTTTGCTTTGGAAAATCCTTACTAGAAAGAACTATTAGATCCACTAACTCTATTATGTAAAACTTTACACACACACACACACACACACAAATTCTGATTCATGATCCGTTCAGCGTGCTGGATCCTGGCAGATGAGTAGCTAAGGCTTGGACTGACTTGGTATCCTTTTACCTAGGCAGAAAAGCAATGTGTATACATGATAAATCGTGCAGGCTATTGTTGGTTGTTGGACACAGAGCAGTCTGAGAACCTAGATTTCAGTTAACACCACTGAACAATGTGTCTGCTGCGTTAGAAGTACTGCCCTTGACTCTTGTATGTGACAGAGTTTGTTTGTTTGTTTTTTAACGTGAGACAGTCGTTTCATTATATGATACCCGCTTGGATATCATTTGTACCCTGTGACGTCGAGACCTTAAGCCAAATCTGAGACCTTGTGGTAAGTCTAGGGAGAAGTGAATTTCGAATCGCACAACCTGCAACTCGCAATAGTTTGGAACTTCTGACCATTCCTTTATCAAAAGAGCTCAGTGATACAGCCGCACATAAATGACTAACAGGGCAATGGTTTAGCAATTTGCTTCAGCATTGCCAGTGGGAGTTTGTAACACCTATTGCACATGTAATCTCTGCTTATCACATATCTACTATAACTTCCTATTAATACCAGAGAAACCGACTCTGTTCTCTTTTCCTATACACAATCTCCATTTCTGCTTCCTAAAATGTTACCCAAGTTACTAGACGCAATGTCTATGAGTTTGACTTCCTCTCAATCCATTTGATTAAGAGCATTTATGATGGTTTATCTAGCTAATTGTTAAGGGTGCATTCCCAGGTAGTGTCTGTTGCAGGTTTTGTTTTTAGTGTTTTCAGCTGGCTTTCAGGCTCCCATTTTGAATGCTAGAGAGTAATGGATGGAGAAAGACAAAAACATAAGAGGCCTTTTTCCTGCTTTAGGGGGAAGAAAAACTCCATCAATTTCTTTTCCAGAATCTCAATTTGTATCAGAAAAAAAAAATGATCTGGCTTTTTTTAAATAAAATTATTTTGATGTTGATCGTGGTTCTCTGAAAAAATACACATGACATGACATCAGCGCAATAGTGCCCAGGCCCCCAGTTCCTACCCAGACTCCACTGATTTCATTGAAGTTATGCCAGGAATTAATTAGACCACAGCAAAGATCAAGAACAGGAATTCCCAATGTATAATAAATCCCATTTTTATGCTCATGTTGAGTTAAAGATCTCTCAAGCCTTCTACCATTTTGTCACGCTCAAAACATCCCAGCACCCAGAACCAACGATAAACTGAATTATTAGAAATATTTTGAACAACTTTTTGTCTCAAAACGGATTGCAGGTAACAGATAATGTTGAGAATCCAAGCAGGCAATTTACAGGACTTTTTTAGTGAAAGACAAAAATCAGTCATGTAGGTTTTAAATATTTCTGATGCTATAATAGTGAGGGTCCTATACGTTCTTGGACAGATGGATGGATGGAAATTATGTCTCGGTTTTAAGTCCATACATAAAACTAGTAGCCTGTCTTTAGCAATGAAACAGAACAAATAATAAACAAGGGCTGGTTACATTTTAGGGCAAGGTTTCTATAAAATATTCAGTGCTATTTTCCCCTTAATCTTATTTAGCATCATAAACATTGCGGGGAACTTCATTCCTTATCCCGCAGTCCTTACTCAGGAAAACTCTGAGGCGGCAACTCAGCAAAGTATTTTTCCCATGCCTACCTTTAAACACATGAGTAGTCCATTTAAGTCAGTGGGACTGCTCAGTTGCTTAAAGTTAGTCACCTCCGTAAGTATCTTTCTGAATTATTAACTGAAGGATCAGGTCCTCTACGTCTGAATACAACCATTGTTCTCGCCTGGATTTTTAAAAGTTTTAAAATAGCGTTGGGCCCGGTTCTCATTTGCACTAACCACTACGTCACACCACCTTGGCAATGTAAAAGGGGTGAGAACCAACTCCAATCTCTCCCACTTTATTACATTTCCGTTCATTTTAAAGCCCCTTTGCACTGCCAGAGCTGTGGCAGAACCTGGCCCTAACTGTGTGTAAAAAAAAAAAAAAAAAAAAATCTGTGAATTTTGAGTTGCTGGGCTGACAACTTCTGCCATCTACACCCTCTGTTTATCCACACCCCAAAAGCTGCATAGCCTGCGACACTGCAAGCTTCCCTTACTCTGCCCCCAGAAATGTCACTTTATCCTTCTGGGGCTCAACAATTTCTTGTTTGAGTGAACTGTTGGCTTTCCAATCTTATTTAAATGTCAGACAAGACGGGCAAATGATAACACCTCGACCTCTTCCTGTACTCCACATTAACCATGGCACAGACACCCCAAGCTGTTACTTGTCACATTGTCATCGTTATGCAATTGGGGTCAAAACACTCAACAACAGCAACACAAACATTGTGGGGGAGATGGGGAAAGAAGCTAATGAAACTACACCGAGTTACCCCAGTGTGTGGAGCCTTTGTTGTAGACTGGATTTGATGTTGGCCTTTGTGATCAAATCTTCAGAGTTACAGTTATAAAAGAAAGCACAGCTCAGAAAAGATTTTGCACAGTTCATGTATCGGACACAGGTGAGGAGCCCAAGATCATGAATTTTCCACGGGGTTCTGAGCTTTGAAGGGTGGAGACACCCAGGAAACAAAGGACATCTTTGGGGTGGTCCAGTGAGGAGGAATAGGAGGAAACAGGTCACAAGAAAATGTAATCTGGACAAGAGGAAAAGTTTCCTGACTGCAAGGTCCATCAGTAGGCTCCTCCCCAAGGCAATGGATAATGCAGCCCTTACACATGCTGGTGAGCATTTACTTACATGAGCAGGCCTATTGAAGCCAAGGGATTGTGCAATCCAGCCCCAAGCAAGCAGTGGAAGCCCTTTGCCTGAGTCATTTAAAACAGGGCTTCACCAAGTATTAGGGAATGTGCATTCGCAAAGGCTGGGGGAGTGGAAAAGGTGGGCTAATGGGCCTTTTCCATCTCCGGTTTCTGTGACTCTCTGGCACGTTTGTGAGAGGCATGGGTCTGCTTGCTGAAGAAAGTGACGGCAATGTGATTGCAACTGTTCTGTCATTGCAGAATATGGACCTCAGAGAGCTGTGGATGTGAAAATCCTCCGGCATCCTTCCCCCAACCCCTAACTGGCTCTCTGCAGTCCAAGCTTCCTTCTTCTGAGATGGGTAGATGCCCCATCCAGGCTCTGATAGACACATCTGTAGTGTAAGGTCAATCTGAACTGACAATGACTAGGACAGCAAGTGAAGTCCGTATATCTGCTGTGCTGTATGTGGAGTAAAATGGAGAGTGGTACTGGGCAGTAGCTGTATCTGTTTTGAGAGATCCTGGCCCTGTATTGGCCCTCAATGTCCAACAACTGAAGAGATAATGAATGGGATTTATCACACCGGTAATAATAGGAAAACCAGAGACCAAGGAGATGAAGTCCCAGCAGCCGGAAAGAGCTCCTAGGAAGGTGTTTCAAAAGCTAGTTGTTTTCTAAACACCCTGAAAGCAAGTTGCGGGCCAAACCTACTGATGGAGTAAATAGCTGCAACTCTTGAACTCAGTGGATTGATGCCTGGTTACCCCAGCAATGAATTTGGCTCTATGTGTAACTGACAGCATGCCCATCATTCCAGTGCAGCCCTACAACAAAACAAGCTTGGATCATAAAGTGATCCCTAGGCAAAGCGGAAAACTCACCCTTCATGTGTACAATAGTGCTAGAAGTTTCACAGGAAAAGGTTCAACCCAACTCAGTGACATTAATAAATTCACTTCCATAGGATCTTTCATCGGAGGGTCTCAAAGCACCCTCACAAACGTTAATAAGTGAAACCACTCGACACCCCTGGGAGATGGTTACATTGATGCATGGGGAGATCAAGTGATTTGCCTGGATTCACGTTATGAGTCAGTAGCAAAGTTGGGAGTAGAACCCGTGAGACCTGATTGCAATCCTTGGCTCTAACCATTAGATAACATTGCTTGACATAGCATGTTTTGGAAGTTGGCATTCAGTTTGCTCTCCACCCTAGCCATAAACATCAAAGCTATTCTCATTGAAAGATGAATGCAGAGACTTTCATCCAACAGTGATAGCATCTCTGTGGAATTAGCTGTCCTTTTTTATCTGTTCATCCATCTGTTGCTGCTGGTACCATAGGCATTGTAGGGAAGCGAGTAATTGGGTGTCGGGGAGTTGATCCAGTGAGTCTCCCTGCTTCCAAGCTGCTGTTCTCTCTGTTTCTCTTCCTGCTCAGTGATTAAGTGCTGCAGCGCTTCTTGGTCATTAAATGGATTCTTGCCATACTCTTGTCGAACCCAGGCTCGGTACTGCCAAAACAAAACCAAAATGAGTTGTGAAGGCCACTGATAAGGTGCAAAATCTCTCTGCTTATCATTAGCCCTACACCAGAACCTGCAGATAAAGATCCAGATACAAGAGGCAATCAGAATTATTGGGATGTAGAATGAAATCCTAACTTGTCCCAGTGCACACTGCCAGGGCCGGCTCCAGCTTTTTTGCCGCCCCAAGCGGCGAAGCAGGGAAAAAAAAAAAAGATAAAGCCGCGATCAGCGGCACTTCGGCGGCAGCTCTACCGCACCGCTTCATTCTTCCACGGCAATTCGGCGGCGGGTCCTTCGCTCCAAGAGGCACTGAGGGACCCGCCGCTGAATTGCCGCCAAAGACCCGGATGTGCCGCCCCAAGCACCTGCTTTCTTCGCTGGTGCCTGCAGCCGGCCCTGCGCACTGCAATTGCAATTATAGTGAATCTTTGCTTTCCATGAAATTCTGTGAAAAAAGCTTACAGGAGGGTTCCACACTGTGCTGCTGGATGTCCATCATCATACAGCATTTAAAGGGCCCGGTTTGCAGAATTTTGCACCTACCATTGTGCACCTAATTTGTGTCTGCAGTTGCTGCGTGTACATGTGCAAATTACTAACTGCACTAATTTGCACCTGCGGTTATCCAGTTTGTGGTGGTTTCACTTTCTAGTTAGGTGTGCAATTGTGCATGCACTTTTGGACATGCACAATTATGGAACTCAGGCCCACAATGATTAGATACTAAACTCGTAGTTAAGTTAATGAGGGAAGCCACAACCCTTTTTCTTTTCTTCTGTAGCATCCTACATATAAACTGTATCCCTAAGCACTTTAAGCACTGATGAACAATCATAGAATCATAGAATATCAGGGTTGGAAGGGACCTCAGGAGGTCATCTAGTCCAACCCCCTGCTCAAAGCAGGACCAAATTCCCGACTAAATCATCCCAGCCAGGGCTTCGTCAAGCCTGACCTTAAAAACCTCTAAGGAAGGAGATTCCACCACCTCCCTAGGTAACCCATTCCAGTGCTTCACCACCCTCTTAGTGAAAAAGTTTTTCCTAATATCCAACCTAAACCTCCCGCACTGCAACTTGAGACCATTACTCCTTGCTCTGTCATCTAGTACCACTGAGAACAGTCTAGATCCATCCTCTTTGGAACCCCCTTTCAGGTAGTTGAAAGCAGCTATCAAATCCCCCCTCATTCTTCTCTTCTGCAGACTAAACAATCCCAGTTCCCTCAGCCTCTCCTCATAAGTCATATGCTCCAGCCCCCTATGGACAGGCTGTGATATATAAAAACAACGAGGAGACTCCTCGTTGTTTTTGTGGATACAGACTAGCACGGCTATCTCTCTGATACTAGGCTGTGATATAAATTGCAGAAAGCAATGGTGCAAAAGTTTAGCATGGGGAATAAATTAAAGCTTTCATTCCCAAGGCCATACACAGCGGGAAACATAAAGAAGAAGAGAGATGTTGTCAGAAGAGAGGTGAAAGAAGATTATGAGTAAACAAGGTGGGAAGGATACAGGGAGGCTGATACAAGCAGTGGGAGCTACAGAGGAGACGGTTCTTAAGCCAACAGTGGTTCCATTAAGAGCAGAGCTGTTTAGTCCACGTCTCAGAAGCTGTTTCCCACCCATAGTGCTATACAGGCAAAGAGTGGCAAGATAAATGCTGTCAAGTTCTTGTGCAAAGTGTGACATCCTGCTTGGTAAACATAATGGTGACACCACTGGAAAATGTAACCACAGTCACTCGCATTCCTGATTCCACTTTATGTCATGACAGTGCAATGGAGTTATTTACTTCTTGTTGCCAAGAAGTTACCTTGGTTCCTAGTGCAGCCGAATTACCATAAACAAACACCTCACATTCTTATTTGATGGTGACACCGGGAAACAACTGGCGTCACTGCAGTAGGTCACCAACACAAGTCAGTTCTTGCCTGTCATACTATTTGGTTTTGTACCGTATTTGTTCAGTCCGATTTCTCATCAGTGTCTCCAGTTCCTGCTAACGTCTATGGTCAGCTAGGTTTGGGCTGAGATTGTGGGGTTGTCTGAAAACGAAATATTGCTAATATGAATCTTTGTGACACCCCCCCCCCCATCCCTCCCATCGTGCTGCAACATGAAGCAGTCAGGAAGAGCCCTATGCTCTGGGAATCCATCCCTGAGGGCACAGATAGAAGGAGGAGGCCAGTTTAGGGTTCTGCAAGGTCAGCAAACTTTATGGTCAACTGTCCACTTAGGGGGTTTCTTGCACTTTCCTCTGAAGCAGCTGGTGCTGGCCACGGTCAGAGAGAGGATAATGGACTAGATGGAGCATTGGTCTGACCCAGTATGGCTATTCCTGTGTCCCCCATATACTCTAATAAACTCCTCAGGCTGTAACCTGTTTGGGGCAGGGACTGTCTCTTTGCACAGTGCCCCGGCCTCTAGATCGGGGTGGGCAAACTACGGCCCGGGGGCCGCATCTGGCCCTTCAGATGTTTTAATCAGGCCCTCGAGCTCCTGCCGGGGAGTGGGGTCGGGGGCTTGCCCCGCTCCGCGCGTGCCAGGGCTCTGCGCAGCTCCCGCAGCTCCCATTGGCTGGCAACCACAGCCAATGGGAGCTGCAGGGACGGCGCCTATGGACGGGGCAGTGCGCAGTGCCGCCTGGCCGTACCTCCACATAGGAGCCAGAGGGGAGACATGCTGCTGCTTCTGGGAGCTGCTTGAGGTAAGCGCCGCCCGGAGCCTGCCCCTCTGACCCCTTCCCCATCCCGCCCTCTGAACCCCTCGGTCCCAGCCCAGAGCCTCCTACTGCACCCCAGAGCCTGCACTCCCAGCTGCAGCCCTCACCCCCCAACCACACCTCAACCCCCTGCCCCAGCCCGGAGCCGCATTCCATACCCTGAACTTCTCATTTCTGGCCCCACCCCAGTGCCCACACCCCCAGCCGGAGCCCTCACCCCTTCCCACACCCCAACCCCCAATTTCGTGAGCATTCATGGCCCACCATACAATTTCCATACCCAGATATGGCCCTCGGGCCAAAAAGTTTGCCCACCCCTGCTTTAGATGCTACCACGGTACAAATAATCTTCCTACATTTTTGACTAGCCAAGCATTCTAGTTGCTTCAGCGAAAAACGTGGGAGCATCTGGGAAGAGCCATAGCCGTGACTGGGCCTTGGTCTCAAATAGGGCACAATAAGGAAAAATTTGAGAGACACTCCTCTGCAGCATTCGTCTGGCTGTGACCAGGGGAATCCCTTGCTAGGTGTCCTCTCTGCTCTCTGGAGCAGCGATGGTTGTCACCGAGCTGAGCCTTCCATGATAGCTCAAGCTTTTGAGTGGGTGGTGGCTTCCACTGAAATCCGGGGGCTTTCCAGTGGGGATTTTTGCAATTCCAGGTCTAATCACTTACCAAGCCTGCAGGCTGCAGAACCCACTGTATCAAATGTGCACTCGTTGCCTTGAATCAGGAAGACATTCAACATTTTGTTAAGGGTGGAGACATTGCTATATTGGCCGTAGGCCAGAAGGCAAGGCTTAATTTCCTTGCTAGAAAACAACGGATGGGAACTGGCCTCCCAAAATGTGAACGAGCAGGATATCCTGCATGCTTATTCAGTGCAAAGAGAACACTGCCCTGAAATAATATGGACTCCATTCTCCTCTTTGCACTGCCATTCAGTTACTCCTGATTTACCCCACTGTGAGAGAAGAATCAGGCCTGATGTCCTTGGCACAAGCTTTTCTGCACAGAGGTTTCCATGGGTCCTGGTGACACTAGATCTTGGAAAGAGTCTAGTTATACATCCAGTTCAGGTCAGGTCACCATGAGTTCACACTACACATGGCTTATCTGACATGGCAATCTGCACTGTTCACTAACAGCAGGACAGGTCGATGGGTCACCGGAGGACCGGAGAGGGCGCTAGGACAATGCATTGCAAGGAGACCGGCATTAACAGACAGCACGGCTGCTTCCTGCCAAGAGGAAGCTCCCAGAAAGAAATTCACTTGCCAGAGGCCATCTCTGCCTTAAGCTTAGCTCTGAAACAATGCCAATGTTAACCCTTTGACGGCCTAATCCCTGTGAGATGCTGAGCACTCACAGCTCCCCTTGGCTAGGACCGGAGATGGAGAGGGCCTGAGTTTGCAGAGCAGGTTGCTGCTGGGCGTACCCAGCTGTTTTTGGCAGCGACCGCTGTGCATGTTACAGCAGCATGTTCCTAGTCTCTCATTGTGTGGCTCACCTCCCAGAGGTACATTTCCAGTCACTGCTCCTGGGTAAATAATCTGGGGCGGGGAAGGGGTGCGCCACCACCATGCAGCAGCCTGACAGGCCCAAGTTGCCACTCCCTGGCTCGAGGGAACCCAGCCCCTGAGCTGTCTCTGACTTCCCACCAGGGGAAAGCGAGAGGCAGCATGACTGACCGTTGGAGCTGCTGCCAAGTGTTTGTTTATCAAGTCAGATAAGGTGTGGTTCAAGTGCAATTCCTCCAGCAAGAGCCAGTCTTCCCCTCACATCTCACAGCTGGACTTTGCTTCAGGACCAAATTTATCTCCATCACCTGATGCAGCTGGGTCTGTCCCACTGAACGTGTGAGGGGTGGCACATCCCAGAGCAAATGCCAGGGGCATTCTCGGGTCTGGGGCTCCTTGGGCCAGCGGGAGCTCGGCTGTGTCATGAAGCTTTGTGGTGGGGAAGGGAAATCAATGGATTTACAAATATTTCCTGTGCACCCTGGTGCATAGATCAACATCAGCACCTGCCTGGGAACAGGCCACTCATCTGTTGTTGCAGTCAGAGGACAAGGCAGCATGTGTCTAAAAGATAAGGGGGGCCCATAGGATGAGAGGTAGTGTGGTGCAGTGGGCAGGACACTGGACGAGGGGTATATCTACACCACAAAATCAAGGTGTGATTGCAGCATGGGTAAGCATACCCATGTCAGCTCTTATCTAGCTAGCACAGGTAACAATAATAGCAAAGGCGCAGCAGCACAGGCCATTGTTTTGGGGTCTTCTTAAAGGCCCAACTTCTGGAGTCATGTGATTAACTGAGACTCTCAGCATTCTTTTTTGAAATACTTCTAGCTTTCATGTTTGCAGAGAAAAGCTTGAAAAATGTGACCCGAGCTGGGGTGCTGGAACAATTTGTAACGTGGGGGTGCTGAGAGCCATTGAACCAAACTGTAAACCCTGTATAGAATGGAAACCACTGCAAGCCAGGGAATGCGACGGCACCCCCACACCCCTAGTTCCAGCACCTATGGCATCCGAGTGTGACCAAAGGACTCAAAAAGCCAAAGGCAAAGAACAGGAATGCAAAACGGATTTTTTTTTTATCTCATGATTTTTGGGGTGGGGCTGACCCCGATTTTGGAAGACTGGGGATTTAGTTCAGCAGCACCTGCATCACAGCAGTATCCTGACGGCCCTCTCGGTTAGGACTCCATCCAGCCTTGCTGAGTGCCTGATGTCCGGGCGAGCTCTGTTCACTGGGGGGAAGCCCCAGAGGGAATCTCCGGGGTGTGGCATATTTTGTAATTTGTTTGACATTTTTCTGGAGAAGTTCCTAAAAGCTGGTGACTGTCAGGCTGCTGCTTATCATGTGACACAACAGTCCACCCCCATGGGAGTTTGCTCAGAAGAGCCTGACCTAAGTTCACCCATCAAAACAACAGGCCTAGAAGGGAAGTAACAGGGCACCGATCCACACAGCCCGGGACTCAATGGGAAGCTGTTGACATTCTGAGCTGTGTCACATGCTGGCTCCTTTGGACAAGAGTAAAAAATCCCCTCTAGAGACTTTGGGGCTTGGAATGGAGCAAAGCACGCCCTAGCTACAACCTGTCACAAAACTAAGGACCGTCACGTGAAGCATCTTGGTGATGCTGGCAGGAGGGATGGGGGAGAGGCAGGCAGAATGGCTCCGGGGACACCAAGGGGAGCATGTGTGGAAGTGACATTTATTAAACACTCCAAGAGGTGCACCATTCACTGCTGGCCTGCAGGCACTAGCAGATGTTCAAGGAGGAGTAACATTGGCTACCTGATCCCAGCCCTTTCTTGCCAGGTCCTGACTCCTCTGGGGGTAAGGTGCTACTGCCAGAGTTAGCCAACCTCACTCCTCTTCACACTGAGTTGGCCGCAGATCCTCAGCCTCTCCCTCTAAAAAGCTGCCTTCCAGCTCAGGAGCGCAAAGTGGTTCCAGATGCAGAAGAACTATGCAGACGTCATCATCTTTACTCATGACATCTCCTCTTGGGACTTCTAGGATTTGTTTAACTTAATCTAATGCAAGCCAGAAAGAATCCTTCTCTTCGATCGGGCCGGGCTCAGCCAGTGATCGTGTTTTCCTTATGTCTGATCCTCTGCTATGTTTACTGGAGGTTGGATTTCTTAATTAACGTTTGTTTATGTCCTTTAGCTGCTGAACATGGGAGACTTGCTGTCAAATGAAGCCCTGCTTAGACGCACACACTATCCAAGCATCACTATCCTGACCTGCAATTACCTCACCCCTCCCCACTATTCTAGTTCTGGGCGGCTGCTGCTGCTCAGGCCCCCAGCCAGCACTCATCATCCATCCTGGACTACCCAGCAGCGTCTTCTTTTCCGCCAGCCAGCCTCACAAACAGAGCTCATCAGACAATTACAGTACCAAATTTTCACACACAAAATGCACCCACAAAATTTGTTGGTACTTTTTTTTTTGCATGCATGCATAAAACAAACAAAGTCCCCAAATAACAAGAAGCAGGCCCAACCCCCAACTTGTGCAAGCATTTGGTATTTTTGCATGATCAGTTACCTATTTTATGGGTGCAAAACAGATGTGCCTGTGAATTTTGCTGACACAGACAAGGGACCCTCTGGAAATTTGGTTCTTGATTTATTTTGGAGGCCAAGACATAATGACATTGCAACTTACTCTCACCACATCCCATGCACGCGCCAACAATGCGTCACACCAGTAATGGGAACATCTGAGTGTCATGGCCTACAATTGTTTTGTCCTATGGGTAAATGCCAGCCCACGAGCAAGGAGAGGAAAGGATGTACCTCCTTGAGCAGAGTCCTCTCGTACTCCTGCAGCTGCTGCTGAAAGCCAAAGTTGGGACTGACATAGGAACGGACAACCTTGGTGGCAGCCAGACACTCCTCCCAGCTGAGGTCGGTCACAGTCATAAGGTAAGCCACCAGGATGGTGGTGCTGCGGGACACTCCAGCCAGGCTGTCATAGCAGGAGGATTGAAAACAAGAAGAGCACAGGGTGACATGGTGCACTCCGGAGGCAGGAGAGCCCCATGCAGGTGAACAGGAGGAGCAACCCCAAGTCAGCTGCCTGGCTAGAAGTACGTCCTGCATGGAGTGCATCGGTCAGCCCTGCACCAACACCCTGTGAACGATACAGAGTGTGTGTGGAAAGCCAGTCCCCTGTTTCAGAGGGGGCCTCTTTCGAGAATGCTTTTCCTATCAAGAGCTATCGTTAATCCAGTGGATGGGAAACTGCACTGGGGCTCAAAAGATATAGATTCTGTTCCCAGCTCTGTCGCTGATCTGCTGGGGGACCTTGGGCAAGAGGCTTCCAATCTCTAGGCAACTATTTCCCCTCCCATCGCTAATCTGTCTTGTCTATTTAGACCGCAAGTTCTTCAAGGCAGGGCCTGTCTCTCTGTCTGTGCCCGTGCAGAACTCAGCACAATGGGACCCTGGACCCAGTCAGGGCAGGCCCTGTCTCTCCTTGTGTATCTGTGCAGCACCTTCACAGTGGGTTTCACTGGGGCTTTTGGGGGCCACCGTAGTATTAATAGAGCTTTTGATAACAATGAAAAACACAGTGAATATACGCAAAGGGGGCAATTGACATCAACACTGACCAATGAATGAGGCAGCCTCCCCCATGGAGCCGGCATTCATGAATGAACCTGATGCTCTCCTTAAAATGCTGGATCCTAGGAGAGAAAGCAAACAGCGAGATGAGGCAGAGGTCACCCATTTTACGGAGCACGTTGTTCTGGGGCAGCCCGTTTCCAGAGAAGCTGCGCTCTCCTGGCTCTCTGGACAAGACACCGAGCTCCTTTCTGTGGGGAGGTAGGATAAAGAGAGCTGCCAAGTCTCGTGCTGCTGCAGGAAGATGCTGGTTTTAAGCACGGCCCTGCTTGACCTGGCGAGTTAGCATCGGGGCCAGGGGAGCACTGCATCTGGATAGCCGGTTATGTACCCAAAGTGATGCACAGCCATTAACTGGAGACACCCCCCACACACAACCCGGTGAGAGAGAAGTGTCAAATTAACCCCTTCGTGCCGTTAGGCAGCTGAGACTCAGAGAGCTCCATCGGTTAGCTCCCCTGCACCTCAGGGTTAGAGCCCAGGACTCCCTGGCCGCTAGTCCCCTACTCAGTACACTGGCCCATACTCCTCCACTAAGGAAGGATGGTCTTGGGGACGAGGCACTGGTTTGGAACTCGGGCGATTGGGGCGCAGTCCCCAGCTCTGCCACAGACTTCCCGGGTGACCTTGGTCAAGTCACTTCACCTCTCTATACCTCAGTTTCTCCATCTGGAAAATGGAGATAATGATACAGATCTCTTCTATAAAGCGCTTCGAGATGTGCTGATGACAGGTGCTAGATAAGAGCTAGGTATTGTTGTTATAAGGAAAAGTTAAAAAAAATGGGCATGTTTAGTCTTGAGAAAAGAAGACCGAGGGGGGACTTGATAGTCTTCAAATCTGTTAAGGGCTGTTATAAAGAGGATGGGGATCAATTGCTCTCCCTCTCCACTGAAGGTAGGACTAGAAGTAATGGGATTAACCTACAGCAAACAATGTAGGTTAGATATTAGGAACAACTTTCTAACAATCAGGGTAGTTAGGCTCTGGAAGAGGCTTCCAAGGGAGATTGTGGAATCGCCGTCATTGCAGGTTTTTAAGAACAAGTTGGACAAACCCCTGTCAGGGAGGCTCTAGGTTTACTGGGTCCTGCCTCAGCACAGGGGACTGGACTGGATGACTTCTCGAGGTCCCTTCCTGCCTGCCATTTCTATTATTTCTCTGATTTTCTGTACAATGGAGATAATCATGATTTCTTTCTCCCACCTCTCGTCTATTTCGATTGTGAACCCTCTTGGGTGGGGACTGTTCCTTACAGAGCTCAGCACAGTGGGGCCCAGATCTCAGTTGGCGTCTATAGGTATTACCCTCATACAAATTATAACAAGAACGCCAGTGATATGTTACCAGATTTAAAGGCGGGGTGTTACGCTGATAAAGATCACAAACATCCGCCCATGCCCGGCATCATAGTATCTAGGTGCCAATGTAAACGTCACTCTGCTAAATCCCATCAAACACAAAGAACATTTCACGAATAATGGCAGGGTGCAAACCTTTGTGTTCCTTCTTCTTCTTCTAAGTCAGTGTTTACAGTAAATGTTTCCTTGTTATTCGCTGGACAGATGCTGCCTCTAAGCCAAGGAAGTGATGGCTGAATTCTGAAGACCCTTTTCCCCATTAAAAAAACAAAGGGGCCCTTTTCAATCCAAAAGGGAGAGGTAACCGAGGGGTGATGATAGGTCAGGGGAGAAACTGCAGGGAAAGCCCAGGCCCAGGATAGCAGGTGTGCGGCTGGCCCTCATCATTGTTTCCATCAGCACCCCCTGCTGTGTTCTCCATTCACGTTCCAGATTAGATGCTCCTTTCTCTACCTCTTGCTCTCCCTGCCCAATTCTTTGGGATAAATTCAGACCTGGTATCGATGGGTGCAACTCTGAAGGCAGGGAGCCACCTCTGGGAGACTTGGATGGACTCTGGAAAGGGGTTTGGTCCAGGCTTCCTTGGGAGCCATAAGGATGAGCCAGGACAGTGGCCAGGGGAAGATGTAGGGGAAATCCTGGAAGGTTCCTGCCCGCTGCATAAATATACTGGGCCAGATTCTGGCTTCAGTTATACCTGGACTAACTCTACGGATGTCAATGGAGTTACTCCTGGCTTCTGCCCATGTGTGCCAGAGATCAGAATCTGATCTGTCCTCTCTGCCCTTCTTGGAGCTGCAGAGCTCCTGGCCATATGTGAACCATTAACAAAAGTTCTAAGAAAAACAAAGCAAGCCGAGGTCTGGCAACCAGCCAGCCTGGCGTAACACCAGTCCCGGCCAAGGAGACGTTAACCCTTTGCGTGTGTGGCAGCAGAATGCTTCCTTTGTCACCATCCAAGTGAATTGGTGATTTATTAAATGAGTCCAGCATCTCTCCCTGGAACAGGACCCTTGGAGCCGAGATAAGGGCTATTGTTATTGCAGGAACAAGGTTAAGCCATCAGAAGCGCCTCTCCTTCCTTCCTTCCCTTCCCCCACCACACATGCTTTCTCAGACATCACCCTGACTTCCTCAGCCTTCTCATGATAAGGGTGGGGATGTTCTCCCACAGCCTTCCTGATTTCTCAGAAGTTAAGACAAGATTCGATTGATTGTACAAAGCCACAGCGGAGCCATTCCCCAGCAACCAGGCGGGTGGCTTTTCTCTGTAGAACATCCGACTCATTCTACTCTGGTACTGGAGAGCTTGTTATTCATGTGCAACCACAGGAGTGGGAGTCCAGACTTCTAGGTTCTAATCCTGGCTCAGGGGATCTGACAAATCTTTTCCATCTCTAGCTTCTCTGCTAAGAAGGGATGCTGCCCACCTCCTGGAAGCACACAGTTCACACACCTTCTAGAAACCAGCCAAAGACAGTGCCAATGGCAGCAAATGCTTTAGTTGCCCAAAGCTCAGAGAGAGACTACTATCCTGTAAAGGTTTTTATACCACGCTCATCACCATGGTACCTGAGCGTCTTCCCGTAGTGCATTAAGCAACGTGTCTACACATCTGTCACATGGTGTTTTGTTCTCTCATCCTCTCCCCAGAGGAAAAAGCGTGTGCTGTGGACTGTCTTGTTTTGGTAGGGTTCTTTTTTTTAAATATAAATATACCTGTTGCTACGTGTTTGTTAGAGAAGGCTAGTCAAAGGAATGCACCTTGCATTTGAAGTGGCAAGTGGTGAGTTTTGGAATGGATCTTCGTTCCTGGGGGAGTTCATTCCAGTCTCGGACCACCCCCAGAGAAAGTTCTGTCTCCCACAAAGATGGGCTCTACCCTTATTGCTGAGAGCTCCATTGTGTTAAAGCACAGTTGTCAACCATGCTTTGTCCTGGAGCATTAGGTGGTCTTTTAGACACCCTGGGCTCAGGCCATGGAGGGCTTTGAAGATAAGGACTAAGACGTTGCAGTTGATTTGAAATTCTATGGGAAGGGAAGCTAATGTAGAGAGAGGAGGATGGGTTGGATGCACTCAAGGCCCTAATCCCATTGGGTTTATAACAGGCTCTTCCAGTCTGTCTTATAGCAAAGGCTGTTAGCTCTTCAGCAAATTTCCCTTCTTTCTCTGGACTGAGAAGAAGATGAAGGCTGGCTAAAAGTGAGCTGGAAATGTCCCGAGTTCCCCTGGACTTGGAACAAAAGCTTATCCCCATGCAGATTTCCAGTCCTCTCCTTAACTCATGGAAGGTAAAGTCTCTCTGCTTTTGGGAACATAGGAGTAGCCACATCATATCAAACCACTGGTCCATCTGCTGTGGTATCCTCCTGCCAGGAGCGGCCAATTCTTGATGCTTCAGGGGAAGGAGACAAAAACCCCAACTCTCTATAATTCAGTTGGCCCATAGGCAATCAGCTAATAATCTGCAGTTTGAGGTTTATCAGATTATTAACTGATAATACTTTGCATTTTATAGCACCTAAAGAGGTATAGCAGGTGGGGGGAAAAACAGCTGTTGGCAGCAACTTGGTGTTTAACAGAGTCCTATGAACTCAGTGGTAGTGCCTTCCTTGGAATTGAATCCCTTGTTCACTGGAGCTAACCCCTATTCCCTGTCACAGCTTGTAGCGAAGTCTCCCATTCCCCATGCAGCAGCTGGGTAAACCAAAACTCAGAAAGTTTAAGTGAGTTTCCCTTGAGAATCAGTGGCAAGGTCTAGGAACAAATCTCCTGACTCCAGTCCTTTGTTCTAACCACTAGACCATGGTTGCACAGGTATATATCTTAAAATGCTGCTACACTATTTAACCTCTGGGGACAGTGAATTCCTTAGGCTGATTAAACACAGTGAGCCAAACCCAGAAATTCTCAATCAGTTTTTAAGTAGGTAGGACCCCCATCCACTGTCTTACAATCCCATCCAGTGTCAGGCAGAAGAGGCAAAGAAGAAATCAAGAGAAGGACACCGCTTGCAAAAAACACATTCAACAACTTCCAAAGACTCCGGGGTTGTCGTAAGTTGAGACTACTCAGCCACGCTAGATTGCTGACGGGCTGCATGTGGTCACTCCTCCACCAGGGATGTGGGAGCTGAACACTTAAGGAGGATACAGAGATGACTCAGAGGGTCTGAGTTTGGGCATTACAGAAGAACATTAAAATTAGCTGGATCACCAAAACTAGGCACAATGAGGTGATGAGAAGTATGAATTGTTAAAAAGCCCACTTACTTGAGACCTTAGGAAGTCAATCAATCCCATCTTTCTGTAGATACGCTGATCTCAGAGTGACCTGACTGGAGCATTCATACTATCAGGCAAGATGGCAGGGAAACCAGTAAGAGGGGGAAAGAAAGCCAGCTACGGCGGAAACAGCACCAGATCAACCGGTATCCAAAGGAGAGTGGAAGTTTTATAACTCTGTTGTGACTGTGAAAGATGGGTGGTGGTGGTGGACAGCCTCCGTATTGGATATGTCACTTGAAGAAGAACAATCCATGGAGGGACCCATTGCTTTCATGTTATGGGAAAGGGACTCTGTCCTTCACCATTCTGAAGTCCTCAATCAATTCCCCTCTAGCACCTCTTGTCTTGCTATGTAGACCCCCACCCCCCCTGCTGTCTCTCATATAGAAACAAATGGATGGCTTTGTAAATTATCATCATCTCTCAGATCTTCTCTTTCATTTCCATCCCAAACCCCTTTGCATTCCTGACACAACCCTGGAACAGCCCCCTGTTTTCTCCACCTCAGACTCACTCCTTCTAACCGTCCCACCTGTCACAGCCACTCGCCACCATCCTGACTCTTCAATCGGCCATGAGGCGGCACTGAGTCACATGATGCCTCCTCCCCTTCCGCCTATCTCCAGGGGGCTGCTCCAGCTCTCCCACCCTTACTGGCTAAGGAAGGGAAAAGCAAAGGCTGTGAAGAAAGCCTGAGTTGTCTTATACCATCACAAAGCCCTATGGCTAGGTCATGAAACTAGCCCAAATACAGCTACCTGATTGGGTAACGTCTTCCATGAGTCAACTCCTCCCAGCTCATCTACCCGTAGGAATGTCTTTGTAATACTTTCCATTCCATTATAGAAATAAGGCACTGCTGGCCTTGTGTTATGGGGAAGGCCCTTTGTTTTCAGTTTTGACTGATTTTTACTGAAAAAGCCCCGTGTTTTACAAAAGCTATTATTTGGTTTTTACTGATTTTCACCCAAACTTTGGACTATTCAACTACATGAAAATACTGATTATGTTAAGAAAAGCCAATACACTACCTTAGTAGATGTGTTTAGCTTAACAAGTTAGCCTAAGTGTAAATGTAAGGTTGTCTGCTAAAGTAAAGCTATGCAGTGGAACACACATACACACACGTGTGCACATATATGTACGTACTATGAATGTACAGTTCATAAAATAAACCACAGCATTAAACTGCATTTACTTTCAATACTCTTCCATTCTCTATTTGTTGCATTTTTTCTGCCCTCACATCCCCTAACATTAATGTGGATTTTTACCCAGAAAATTGTGAAGTTAATTTTTTGCACCGATTTTCACCCAGTTTTTAATTTTTGTAATAAACACAGATACATTCCCAGGAATTTGAAACAAAATAAAAAACCAAAAACATCGGGCCTCGGTTATGATGGATTTATTGCTCTCCTTGGGTAGCTCGAAGCCTTTGGCTTCACATCCCACAGTACACCAGCCCCGGAAATGCACTGCTGGGCATGCCTTTTTGTATAATTGTTTGCTTCAGGTTTTTAATGTAGTGCTGACTTCCTCACCATGGGAATCCACTTTTGCTGACTCTACCCCAGTTGACTTCCCAGACTATGTCAGCCACCAGAATCCTCTCTCTTATGTCTACAGGCATCAGCCCCAAGGAACATACTCAATTTCCAGCCATCTCCTAGAGTAATTGGTACAGATTCCCTCTTTACATGCAGGTCATTATGAGTCGCCAAAGTCTCCAGTCACAAACCTCCCTCCTTAGAAATCCTTTGTAAGTGCCCCCGCATTGTGAAATCTCTGGTATAAAGCAATGTGCAGAAAATAGTTCCTTGAACAACTCTTCCTTCCTGTGGCCAGTTTTGTGTAGACATGTCACAAAGGGAAAAAAAAAAAATCCTGATCTTGCTGAGGAAAGGTTTTCTTGTAAAGCTTCTCTTTCCGCTCAGTGGGAACATGAGCAAGCAGAATTAGTAGGCTGGGGCATGTCTCTTTCTCCGAAAGATGCACTTTCCAGTGGAACACTAGCAGCTCTCCAAATACCCAGGGATAGGGTGACCACATGTCCTGATTTTATAGGGACAGTCCTGATTTTTGGGTCTTTTTTTTTATATAGGCTCCTATTACCCCCCACCCCGTCCCGATTTTTCACACTTGCTGTCTGGTCACCCTACCCAGGGACAAAGTTTCCAAAGCGGCCTCTGAACTTGCACACCCCCAGTTCTGGGCACTCAGAGCCTCGGGATTGCATGGGCAAGTGGCGTTTCTATGTGGAAAGGGGGTGGCGATGATGTTGGACTGGCATCATTCCTGGGGCACCCCGATACTATGTGTGCATGGAAAGATGAGCTTTGGAGCACCCCAAGGTATGTGCCCCAGAACAGAAGGGTTGCAATTTAAGTGTTGTGGAGAGGCCACTTTGAGATTCTGCCACTGGATTACGCTCAGTGGGGGCCGATACCGTGACCTTTGCAGTGATGATGGTACCGCACCGAGGGTTGGCCAGCGTGTGCAGGAGGCCTTGGGAAGAGAAGTCAAAACCTCCAACTCCAAACACACAACCCTCTGTCTGGAGCTGGGTTTGGTGGCCCATGAAATCCACCAGTGAGGAGTCACCGCTGTGGATGGTCCTGAATTTAACATGGATCCACTGGGATCTGGAAGGCACTGTGTGGCCTTACGCAGACTGAAGCTCAGCAGTGGGAAAAGACCTGTCCACCAGCCCCATTCTTCAGATCCCACGGGGGCCCGGGAGAGAGAAAATCCACTGCACCCCCACAACACACAAACACACACACACACACAGCGTCCCGGGCATGGGGGTCAGGGGAAAGTGGGGTGAGAAGGAGCGAAGCAAGACAGAAAGGATTTGTGGGTAAGGAGAGAACTCCCATCCCAAAGACGGGCCTGCACAGCTCCTCCCACTCATGCACCAGAGAGAACTGAACAGACCATTACTAGGTCTGACACAGAAAGTCACTACTCCGCTCCATCTCCCTGGGGTTACAACGCTGCAGCAGTTCCTAGAAGGCAGGCTCCAGAGTGGCTGGAGAATAACACCCACCACCACGCTCCCTCACCAGCGCAGTCCTTCCAAGCGCTGCAGCACAAAGGAGGAGCTGTAATCAGCTCTGCCCCCAGCCATATCTTACCTGGGAAGAGGGTTTTGCAGTGTGGAAGCAGCTGCATGAACCTCAGCGCATGGGGGGGGGGATTTACTAAATCTGCCAGGCTGACTGAGGGCAATCATGCATGCATGCAAAAGCAGTAGCACCTCAGCAACACTTAGTATTGCAGAGTACAGCACCGTGTGCCGGGGTGACAGGATTCCTGAAAGGCCCCCAAATGCACATGCAGCTATTCATACACACAGAGATGACAATGCCTCGCTCTTAGCTAGCCCGTTTTTTTTCAGGAGCTCTCAACGCACTTTGCAAAGGAGGTCAGGAACATCATCCCCATTTTACAGATGGGGAAACTGAGGCACAGAGAGGGGAAATGTCTTATCCAAAGTCATGTGGCAGAGCCAGGCATAGAAGCCTGTCCAGTGCTCTACTCACTCTAGCACACTGCCTCCCATTGTAGCCATTTATTCCTAAACAAAGGGTAGGAATAAATGGTCAGTTTTCAGAAAGGAGAGAGGTAAATTGAGGTGTCTCCCAGGTGTCTGTACTGGGACCAGTCCTATTCAACATATTCATAAATGATCTGGAAAAGGGGGTAAACAGTGAGGTGGCAAAATTTGCAGATGATACAAAACTACTCAAGATAGTTAAGTCCCAGACAGACTGCGAAGAGCTGCAAAAGGATCTCTCAAAACTAGGTGACTGGGCAACAAAATGGCAGATGAAATTCAATGTTGATAAATGCAAAGTAATGCACATTGGAAAACATAATCCCGACTATATATATAAAATGATGGGGTCTAAATTAGCTGTTACCACTCAAGAAAGAGATCTTGGAGTCATTATAGATAGTTCTCTGAAAACATCCACTCAATGTGCAGCGGCAGTCAAAAAAGCAAACAGAATGTTGGGCATCATTAAGAAAGGGATAGATAATAAGACAGAAAATATCATATTGCCTCTATATAAATCCATGGTACGCCCACTTCTTGAATACTGCGTGCAGATGTGGTTACCCCATCTCAAAAAAGAAATATTGGAATTTGAAAAGGTTCAGACAAGGACAACAAAAATGATTGGGGATATAGAACGGCTTCTATATGAGGAGAGATTAATAAGACTGGAACTTTTCAGCTTGGAAAAGAGACGACTAAGGGGAGATATGATTGAGAGGTCTATAAAATCATGACTGGTGTGAAGAAAGTAAATAAGGAAGTGTTATTTACTCCTTCTCATAACACAAGAACTAGGAGTCACCAAATGAAATTAATAGGCAGCAAAAGGAAGTATTAATAGACAAGCAAAAGGAAGTATTTCTTCACACAACACACAGTCAACCTGTGGAACTCCTTGCCAGAGGATGTTGTGAAGGCCAAGACTATAACAGGGTTAAAAAAAGAATTAGATAAATTCAGGGAGGATAGGTCTATCAATGGCTATTAGCCAGGATGGGCAGGGATGGTGTCCTTAGCCTCTGTTTGCCAGAAGCTGGGAATGGGCGACAGGGAATGGATCACTTGATGATTACCTGTTCTGTTCATTCCCTCTGAAGCACCTGGCATTGGCCACTGTCAGAAGACAGGATACTGGGCTAGATGGACCTTTGGTCTGACCCAGTATGGCCGTTCTTTTGTATCTATGTGTATACACACACACACAAACAGACCTGGTCAACTTGTTTCCAATAGTTGTACACAGTGTCCAAGATATTACTTCACCCACCCTGTCTCTCCTGTATCCAAGCGGGCATTTTCATTTTTAAAAATGACCTTTTTTCAGAAACAATATTTTTTGGCAAAAAATTGTCTACTTGGTCAGATTTTGGGGGCAGGGGTTTTGTGAAAAATGTGCCTTTTTTCAATGTTTCTTTTAGAGTCAGTGTTGAAAACATTATCCAAATGCTTATCGACAGTTTGTGCAAAGTTTTGACAATTATTTCAGGAATGTTTCCAAGGAAAGTTTGGAGGGAAAAATGGCAATTAAAAATATAAGTAAATGAAAAATCAACTTGGAAATCTTGATGAAAATGAGTTTGCCGTTTTTTGACTAGCTCTGCACACATGTACATATAGATCAAATCTAGAAATATTATTAATATGCAGGCTGTCTTTAAGCTCAGCAAGGATCGAAAGATTGTCCCAGCCATGAAGGGGTGATCATTAGAATTTGAACTTTCATTCATTGAAAACTGACAATTTGCTGCCCATGTAGGTTAAAAACTTGGAAAGAACTTACAGGTTTTGACTGGATGAATCTGACACTGATATACAGAGGTAGGTCATATCCTGAAACAGAAGGAAGGAGACAACATTAAAATGCCTTCAAGAAGCTTGTAACCAGAAATCTCCAACCCCTACGACCCTCTTAACCCCCCCACCCCACCCCACCCCAGACTGTTCTTGCAGCATCACCCGTGTGACGTTGTTAAACCAGATGCCAGCTCTTGCCAAGTCTGTAGGCGTCAGCTGAGCACTGACAAATTTATAGCTGGAAACCAGAACAGTTCACCTATATGTTAATATTGTTCAAGATAGATGTTAGACTTGTAAGGATGTGTTTAGTCTCTATAAAATGCTTGTAAATTGCTTCCTGCGTTAATCTCACTTGGAATGGCTGAATTCCAGGCTACCAGGTAAAATACGTTTGCTTTATAATTGTAAAAATGACTGCTCTGAACTTGTGAACTCAGACGGGAAGAGTGGCTCCCCCCGCCCATCCAGAAGGATTATCAAAATTAGGTGGGCCATCCTAGAACATGCATCCATGGGGAACTACGTGCAGAAGGCCTCGTCCCATGGGTTTGAATGCTGGAAGAGGGAAATGAAGATAGCTGACATGAAGATTTTTCATCTCTTTGCTGTTTGGACTCTTACAAGGGCTGGAGCTAAGAAACAAAAAGCAGAGATCCCTAGGATCAACCTGGGTTAGCCCCGAAAAGACATTCAATGCTGACGGATTACTTCATCTCTGCTGCTTTTGGAGCCATATACTGCAACTCATTTGTGCATATCTCTTGCCTCCTGTAAATAATGCTCTCATTTGTTTTTCCTAATGAATAAATTCTTAATTAGTTTGCTATAGGATTGACTACCAGTGTTGTCTCTGGTGTGAGATCTAAGGTACAAATTGATCTGGGGTAAGTGACTGGTCCCTTGGGACTGGGAGCAACCTGAATATTTTGTTGTTTTTTGGTGTAAGTGACTATTTATCACCAAGTGCAACCTGCCTGGGTGGCAAGATAGACCGGAGTGCCCAAGGGGGCTGTCTGTCACTCCATAGTAAGACTGGTACAGGGATCCAGGAGGTCACATTTGTTATCAGGTTGATGAAATCTAATTATAGAACACAGCACTGGTTTGGGGTGTCTGCCCTGCTTCTGACAGTCTGCCCTGAGGTCAGCGGTGGCTCCAGGCACCAGCGCTCCAAGCGCCTGCCTGGGGCGGCAAGCTGCAGGGGGGGGCACCCTGCCGGTCCCTGCAAGGGCGGCAGTCAGGCAGCCTTCTGCGGCTTGCCTGCAGGAGGTCCGCCAGTCCCGCGGATTCGGCGGCAATTCGGCGGCGGGTACACCGAATCCGCGGGACCGGGGACCTCCCGCAGGCAGGCCGCCAAAGGCAGCCTGCCTGCCGTGCTTGGGGCGGCAAAAAAGCTAGAGCCGCCCCTGCCTGAGGTTGGCACTCACGGTCGTGAGCCACTCCAGACAGCATGACAACCAGCTTGGGATGAAATCCTGGCCCTGCTGAAGTCAAAGGCCTCAGCAAAAGGCTGGCCACACAAAATCCAGGATGGAATATGGGTAAAAGTTCCCCAAAGGAGGATGGGAAAATATCATTGAATTTCCTGGCTTAATCAAGTTTGTGGATTCTGGATGATTTATAACATGCTTTTCAGACCACCCCAGCCCCTATCCAGACCAGTGAAAGGAGTTATTAAGGGTAGCATCCACTATGTGCCAGGCACTTTCCCAGCACTTAAGGACAGCCCTTGCACCGAGGGGCTCACAATGTAATCACACTAAAACCCAGCTAACAGCAGCCATATTTAAAACACATGGTGGAATCCTGGCCCCATGGAAGCTAATGGGAGTTTTGCCATTAACATCATCATGTCCCCAGGATTTCATCCACTGTACCTGCTTAACATAGAATCGGTCTAACTAGCCCCGTCCTGATCCCAGTGAGGAGGGGCTTTTCTTTCTTAAAGTGGTCAGCATTCTACGGATAGTACCCAAAATAAAGTGAAATTCACAGGGCGCAGCCAAGGCATGAGCTCTGGAGCACTTGTGATTCCCATGGTGAAGCTACTGGAAGCATATGGGAATCTCACAAGCCCATATTTAGGGGCCCTCGTTACAACACAGTTTTCCCTGACCCAGTTGCAACATGGTTCCCTCCGGTGCTGCAAACGGGACTTTAACCAAGTGCTGAGACCACGCTAAAGCCACGAATTTGGCACAGTTCATGAACGTGGTTAGAACACAGATAGTTCCCATCTATTCCTCAACGTGGACTCATGCTGTACTGAAGCTGGGGGAGGACGTGTTGTAACTAGTTCGCCTGCCACGGAGCTAGTTGTCATGGCGATGGGTGCCTCACCTGGATTAGGAAGATGGTGTGTAAACATGTTCAGGTGAAATCACTCTCATCAGTGCATTATTTCCTTTTCTATTTACCTTTATATATATATAAAAAAAATCAGGCCTGGTGCATTGTTTGGGGAGGGAGCAGGTTTAAATTTACTTCTTTTATTTAAAACAATGCTTCCCAGATCCTCCCAGCGCGGCACTAACATTAGAAAGTGGGATGTTTTTAAGGCTCCCGCTCCACAGCAAAGTGGATGAGAATCCTGCCAGTCAGCGTTTGAGCAGGTAAACACCAGCTTGCTGCAGTTCTCCTTCGATCTCTTTGCTGTGTGTCTGTGACCAGCGGCACTGGACTTTTCAGTAAAAACAACCTGTAAGCAACTAGGGCTAGCGCCAAAGCCAAACTGAAGTCAGCGGAAAGGCTCGCCTTGGCTTCAGTGAGCTTTGGATCAGGCCCTAGGGAAACATACTATAATTATGATTTATTTATGTGTATTACCGTAGCAGCTAGGAGTGAAGCGGGACCCCACTGTGCTACAAACACACAAGGCTCTGGGACCGAATGTCTGAAACAGGGACCATCGATTCACAGACCATCTAGTCAGACCTGCATGGGCGGCGTGTGAACCCCCTCTTAGGGGAGGCTAGTCCCCGGCTCTGCCCCTTCCACCCGAGGCCCTACCCCTAGCCTGTCCCTTCCGCCCCACCCGAGCCCCCCACCACAGCCGGAGGAGCCCCAGCTGAGCCGCCCTGAGCTGCCAGCCAGTCCGCCCGCCCGCCCCAGCCACGCCAGCCAGCCCAAACACCAGCCCGCCCGCCCCAGCTGGAGCTGAGCTTGCGCTGGCTTCAGGGGGAGACGCGGAGCGAGGGCGAGGCCTCATGGCAGAGCATGGGCGGGGCCACGGCCTGGGTTTGGGGAGGCTTAGCCTTCTCTGGCCTATTATACCCACCACCCACGAGAACCCGGGCCACAGAACCTTCCCACACAGCCCCTCTCATCAACTTCTATTACACAGGATGTGCCCAGCAGAGAGACACAACACGTGGCCCTCATGGTAACACTACCCGTCTCTGTCCACCCTGTGCGTACTTCACGATACGCTGCAGAGAACCAGAGCTCACTCCCAGGGCTGTAGATCATTCTCCGCCTTTTCCTGAGACTCTCCTCTCTTCCTAGCAGGGCTGAGTCCGGCCCCCCACGTAACTCAGGTCGCACGGGATTTGGGGACCCAGGTCTGTTGTTTGGCTTGTGGAGGAAACTCGAGCCTCAAGCCGCCTGTGTCTGCCTCCTCCTGACTCTGGTGATGAAGTAGCTCAGGCCTCTGTGACCCTGGCGTCCAAGGTCTGCAAGGATGGGAATCCCCTCCTGGGCACTGCTCCCACACTGAACCCAGGCCCGTGGGATTTCCAACGAGACCGCGTGTAAACCAGCCCACAGGGCACATGTCCCACTGTGACTGACGTGCGAGTGCACACTAGAAGCCAGAATTCCCACTGCCCTGTCACACAAAGTCCCTGGAAGCCAATGAGCTGGCGGCGCTTGGTACCCCTAATCTCATCTATTCTTCTAGCCCTCCCACTCCCATAGAGTCTCTCAGCAGGGCCTAACCTCTCCGCCCCAGCCTGGGCTTACCTGGGGGCCATCTCCAACTTAGCCAGGCCATTCTGATGCTCCATTATGGAGGAGACGCCTGTGCAAAGCGCTCACCTATAAAGTGCCGGGCTCAGGCCTCTCCTGAGCTCCAGTGGCAGGGAGTTCTGCAGGTCAGAAGAGGGTGCGCTGGCTGCAGCCAGGCCGTGGGTTTGCACGGCCAGCAAACCTCACCTGGAAATGACGGATGGGGAATGGACAGTGACCTGCCCCCCAGACGATGCTGTTGCTGATGCTCCCCGAGGGTGTGTGACTCTCGGGAGCAATGACTCAGACGGGCCGTGGGGATTTGAGACCCACATCTCCCATTGGCAAGAGCAGGACAGAGCCCCTGCCCTGCATGCTGCTGAGAGCATGATAGGAAACAGGGTCCAGTTCCTCACTCACCCTAACCTCACAGGTCTTCTGCAAGGATGTGCATCTCCTCCACATGAGTTCATCTCACCTGTGCTGCTCAGGCCTTGTGGAAGACCCTCACCCTGTGTGATGGCTGGACAAGACATAGCTAGTGATCTGAGAAATCAGTGAACGTGGAGCTGTGAAAATGCGGGGGCTAGAGTAAGGCACAACGGGGGCAGCTGCTGCGCAGTCTCCCACAGACATGGTCCTCAACAAGGCCACTTTTGTAGGGTGAGCACAGCCAATGCAAAGCGCGGGGCGTCCTCCTGTCTCCAGCAGCACAAACGTTCATTGAGACCCAGCTCCAGATGGAGAGCTCCTCGCTGCTGTGATTTTGGATGGATTGGGCCTAACAAACCTGAAGGAGGTGCAGGGGCCTTTGAATGGGAGATGGAACTTTCCACTACCAGGTCATCAACAGAGACAGGCATCTGATAGCACAGTCGCTCTGGGAAAGCAGTTTGGTGGTACTCAGTCCAGTCTCTAGAGGGGCAGCTGTCCAGATCTCAAAGGTTACCTTCACGGGCAGCACCCTGCTGGCTAAGAGGCCAAGGTTCAAATAAGCTACAGGCTGAATTACCCACCTTTGTACCCCTAGAGATGGCCCCTGCAGGTGAAGGGAAGCCTGCAGTGCCCTGGTCTATGCTGTGCCAATCAATACAGCTACGGGTGGGGATTATGAAGGCCGTGTCTTTGGCTGGGATCCATTGGCAGATTCAGGCCAAAGAACAATCAGACAGTCCACCCCTGGGGAATCTCTCGCTCTGCCTCTGCATCTGCCAAGAACTCTGCTTCTTTTCTTATGGGAAAAGCCATATTCCAGATCCACCTCTCAGACTGTAAGAGGCAGAGGAGGCTACTCAGGGATCTCCTTGCGCTCTCCTCTACTGTCCCCCTTGGAGCGGAGGTATACTGGTCTGTCTCTCCTCTCTAGATATTTATGCTGTGCCCATCACCTTGGTGTCTGGGTGCCATCAGAACTGTTGATCCCCAATGCTGGCTGTTTCCTTTCAGAGCTTCTCAGTGTTCCTGCATGCATCTGCACGCGCGCACACACACACACACACACATACACACACACACTTTGGAAGAATTGCCGGAGGAGCCAGAAAGAGAAGGCTGGGTGTAATGCACTGTGGTGCGTCACCCTGGAGCCCTGCCCTTCCATAAGCCCTCTGCATAGCGTGAGAATTCGCCTCTCGCACAATTGACAGACTCCACATTAGTTTGGGGAAAGGGGGTTTGGTGGTTTCCTCATCCGTACACATCACCAAACCACTGTCTGCTCTGCCACGCACTGGCAGCTGCTGCCAAAGAGCTGAAGGAAACTGGGGTGCATTGGCACAGCGGGTTGTGGGGGGCAAGCCCAGGCCTGGACAGGCAGGGGGGCTGCAAGTCGGGAGTGAGGTGCATTGGCAGAGCTGTGACAGCAGTGGACTGTCAGAATAGCGGGGGATGCAGGAGGGGAGTGAAGGGGGAGAGCATTGCTCAGGGGTGAGGTGCACTGGCCGTGCCAGGTTGGGAGCAGCCCTGGAATAACACCCGGTGCTGCAGCTCGTGGTCGAGACACATTGACAGGGCCATGTAGCTGCAGCTTGCCTGGTACCTGCTGGCCTCACGCCAGAGCACCCAGTCCAGCAACAAACTAAGCAGTCAACTGCACCAAAAATGTATTGGCTGGGACATGCAGCTTCCCAGCAGCCAGGGGAGCCACACTGCAAACAGTCTCCAGCCTTCTTGCCAGCAGGTCCCCTCTTCCCACACACACACCCCAGGATTAACTGCTACTCGGCTAGCCGTTTCCTCTGCCATGCTGGAGCCAGGTCCCCCAGCCCAAGGAGGGAAGATGACAGCACTGCTGCCTGCCTGGGAACAGCACTGGGGTTTGCGGTTCCCTGCCTGGCTCTGTGATTGACACATTGCTCAACCCACCATGCCTTTCCGGTTCCCCTTTTCCTCTGGCCCCACGTGCTCAAACGTGTTGTAAGCGCTCGCTGTGGTTCGCCACCCGTCTGGCGTGGCTGTGCTCTGGCAGGGACGGCTCCCAGGCAGCTGCTGCTCCCCCGGCTCCCGCAGCCGTTTCTACATCTTTGATTTTACCCCACAAATTACTCAATGGCCCTTCACGAGGCCCTCCCGCTGTTATTGCTCTTTGTAATCCTCCTGGGCAGGAGGAAGGTCCAGTAGCGCAGGCGCGGTGCTGCTGGAACAATCCCAGGCTCCTCAGCGACCACACAGGGCTTCACAGCCATCAGCAGGGATCAACCCGAGAACCTTCCACTCCAAAGACACCAGACCTCTGCCATCAGAGCTGCGATTGCTACCATTAAACGGCCCACAGGAGAATGCCCTTTGACCTTTCGCCCTCACCGAAAGAGTTTCCCCAGTAACAGGAGATGTCTTTTGAATAGCAATGCTGGTGTCCAGAATAGCCGCTGAGCTCCTCAGGTTACCATACCAGCCCATGGGGTTAGCAGAAGGTCCTGCCTGCACTGCGATATGGACTGAGCCTACTCCCTGCCCAAGAGGAGGTGGAAGACTAACAGCATAGTGGCCCAGCAGGGAGGAAGCATGGTCCAGTGGGTAGCACAATGGACTGGGCCTCCAGAAACCTGGAGTTTCTTCTTAGCTCTGACACTGACCTGCTGGATGACCTTTGGCAAGTCATCTCCCGGCTCGGTGCCTCAGTTTCCCCTCCCACCCTTTGTCTGTTTTGCCCTGCAAGCTCTTCTGAGCAGTCACTGTCTCTGGCTAAGTGTGTGTACAGCACCGAGCACAATGGGGCCTTCATCTCTCTCGAGGGAAATAATCACAACAACAGTCGCTGGAAGGGAGTGACTAGCAGATAGAGGAGTGGGGAACACAAGCACGGAGGGCCAGGAAGCTGAAGAAACTGAGAGGCACAAGAAATGTAAGGATTTATCTCGTCAGCTAAATGCATCCCCATCCAGCAAAACCATGGTCCCCCCAGAAGCAGCAAGCATGGGTACGAAGTTCACACACATTTGCTTTCCTATCCACTAGAGGGCAGTAGTGCATTTACACAATAGCGGGTGCTGCAGAAGGGCCTGAGGATATGGGGCTGGCTAAGTGGGATCTGGGTTTCCTCCGGATTACTTTTTCACTCTAACCTGCTATTTTCCACCGTGCAATTCTACCCACCTTACTCCCACCAGGAGTCCCAGCCCTGCCCTTGCCCTGGAAAGGAGGGCGAGCTGCCCCTGTATACCCACAGACCTCTGAGATTTGGCCTCTCATCTCAATGACACCCAAAGGGCTGGCGTCCGAAACTCGCCCCACTCCCATCGCCAGCACCTGGGGACCTGTGTCTGGGATTAACTCTACCAGATGACGGCCAGGCACCCGGCACCTGCCCCACCCATCGCCCTCCCCATCACGAACCCGGTTCCTGAGCCCAACGCAGCTGCCCGCAGAGAAGTGCCCCAAGTGGCCCCAGGCCACGCCGATCTGCCCCGTGTGGAGCGCTTGGCAGAAGTACAAGCCTGCAACTGACAAAGGCCTGGATTCAAGCTTGTGTGTGTACCAAGCTATTTGCACACAGGCCGGGATCCCAAAGGAGGAACACTCGAGTCACCCTCGAATGGCTGCAACATCCCCTCCCGCATGCATGGCTCCTTCTCTGGCCCGGAAGAAGCCTTGTAACGCTGCACAGAGCTGGGGTGCCCTCTGGTGGCCCTGTCTATGCCTGGCACCTCTGCTTTGTACAGCAATCCTCCTCACTGGTGGTATAGCAGCAGAGCGTCATCCAGAGATCTCAAAGCACTTCACAGTCCCAGTTACGGGAAGCATTATTATCCCCACTGGATAGCAGCAATGCTCGCCTCTCACATTTCCCTCCTTCCCATCTCCCCAGGCTGCGGCTGCGAATGCACCCCCACTCACCTCCAGCACAGGTCTGGCGTTGTTATGCACAGACAGGATGTGGGTGACCCTGTTCTTTGTCAAATTTTCTCTGTCCTCAGAATCTGTAGGCAGAAAAAGTCTCATGAACAAAACACCCAACCCTCTCTTTAAAAGCTGGCCCATAAAGCATTAAGTAGTAATATTCGTTTGGTCTCTGGGCTAAGATCGAGTGTCAGTTTAGTACATGCTAGTCTTTTCTGTTACATTGACTACATTCTGCACTAGGAGGGGCAGGAAATTAACGATCCAATAGGTTTTTCCCATTGCTAAAAGCTCTGATCTTATTAGAAATTAAAACTGGTCAGAACCTTGGGTTTCTCCTCCTCTTCCCCCACCTCCCCATCCCCAGCTCCATGGAAAATTTCAACAAAAATGACAGGTTTCAGAGTAGCAGCCGTGTTAGTCTGAATCCACAAAAAGAACAGGAGTACTTGTGGCACCTTAGAGACTAACTAATTTGAGCATAAGCTTTCGTGGGCTACAAGAAGTGGGCTGTAGCCCACGAAAGCTTATGCTCAAATAAATTTCTTAGTCTCCAAAGGTGCCACAAGTACACCTGTTCTTTCAACAAAAATGCAATTTTGTTTTGTTTGGTTTTCATGGAAATTTTCAGTGGAAAATTTTGACTTTGCCAAAAAAAAATATTTGGACCAAAATGACCAAAACCAATTGCTCAGTTTTCGGCCAAAAAAAAAATCAGTTTTGGGGCTTTTGATTTTCTGACAAATAAAAAAAACTGAAATGCTTCTGAGGAGAGAAGACATTTTGTGGGAAAATTTTACTTTAATTGAAAATCCAATTTTCCGTCCAAAAAAAAAGTTTTGATGGAAAAATGTCATCAGCCCCCTGAGAAACATACCTGTTTACTAGCACCAGCTTGGGTTCCTAGGTATTCGAGGAACCATTTAGGGACGGGATCGTTCAATCCAATCCCACAATCTTTTGAGAGTGGGCAAGGTCATGGGCTTTGTGCATTCTCATATTTAAGCAGAAGCAGCCTTTGAGATGTTCTGAATCCTACAGTCACCCTTTCCCAGCCCTTTGGAGACTGTGGATGCAGACACATCTTCTCCATACTGCTTTGACGTCTTTTCACTCCGGAAGATGCCAGGGCACTCAGCATTAAGCTCAGACCTCCACCAGCCACGTTGGTGGAGCCCAGCCGCCTTGTGGCCAGCTGAAAAACTGACAAGTCTGGAGTGCTCTTATGACTTAGGGTATGTCTACACTACAGGATTAATCCGAATTTAGATAATTCGAATTTGGGAAACAGGTTGTATAAATTCGATTGTGCGCGGCCACACTAAGCACCTTAATTCGGTTTTAAACCACATTAATTCGGTGGTGTGCGGCCACACTACCCCATTAACTTAAACACAGTAATTCGGTGGTGTGCGTCCACACTAACCCTAATTCGAATTAACAAAATCGATTTAGGCTCTACTCCGTTCGTCGAGGTGGAGTACAGAAATCGATTTAAAGGGCCCTTTAATTCGAATTAACTGGCTCTGTAGTGTGGACGGGTGAAGGGTTAATTCGGATTAAGGCAGCTAAATCCGAATTAAAGTCCTAGTGTAGACCAGGCCTTAGATTCCCCTCCAGGGCTGGGACCCCATGGAACTGCACAAACACGCACAGAGATGTGCCCAGCCCATAGGAATTACAGCCCATTCTCCTGTTTAAAGGCAGCAGTCACTAATTCAACAAGGTTTAGCCTGTAGAGAGACATAAACTGCTTCCTCTAGTGGCTACATCATGTGTCCCAAATCCTGCCCGGCCTCAGGCATCGTCACCTACTGCTGGATTGTTCTGTAGTGCCACACACTTTCCAAACCCCATCACATCTCCTCTTCAGTTCCCTCTGCCTGTCTCCTTCAGGCATCCCTGACACTGGGTAAGGAATAAATCCACCAGCAGCACGGCAGGCTATGACTCCAAGAAGGTCTAGGAGAACAGCTCCAAAGACTACCTAGTCTATATGGGTACGTCTACACTACATCTGGGAGCAGGCCACCCAGCCTGGATCCACAGACTTGCTGTGGCAGGGCTCACACTAGCGCCCTAAACATACCTGTGTAGATGCTGCAGTTCAGGCTCTAATCCCAGTGCTAACACCAACTCCCTCTGTGACCTCAGGCAAGCCACTCAACTTCTATGTGCCTCAGTTTCCCCCGTTGTTAAATGGGATACTCATACTTAGTTCTCCACCTACCTCTCCAAGGGGGAGTGAGGATTAACAAGTTAATGTCAAAGGGCTTTGAGACTGAAAAGTGCTGAGGACTAGAACAAATCCACACCCACCCAGGACTTTGCATCTGTCTCTTTGCTGCGCACCAGTGTTCTTCAGAACCTCACTGCTACTCCAGAGACAGCATGTTTCCTCCTGCTCTGAAAGTCTGGGCCCCTGCCACAGGAGAGTTTCCATTAGCAGCATGGGGACTCTGCCATACATGGGCACAATTCAGATTGCATCCCACAGAACCACAGACTACTCTCCTTATTAAGATGCCTCGCTGCTTTGCAATGCTTCTTTTCTCTCTCTTTAAAAATATACATTTTGCGGCTTCCCTGCCTACACATTACACACAGTGGGTAAGTCAACATTGCAGACATACCCACGCTAGCATTGAGCTAATGGCCACTCAAGTATATCCCCTAGGTCCTGGATGGGCAGAATTAACCCACCTGTGCTGCCAGGCTTCACTACTATTGTTACTTGAGTGAGTTTTGATCTAGCTCAGGCATGCCTCCCCATGCTGCAATCACGCCTCCTGACTGCAGTGTAGACGTACCGGCTGTGGCCTTTCTGGTTTCTGCAGTCTCTCCATGGAGAGGTTCTATTGACATGCAAACTTACAGCCCTTCTCTCTTCATTCCTTTCTTTGCTCTGTCGCCCGACTGCTTCATCTAAACCCAAACAATGGCCCGTCGCTTAGGGAGCGTCGGACACCTTTAGAAACCAGCACTGGGGGAAGAGAAATCATTTAACCGGAAAGAATGGAGCTTCCATCTAGCCCTTCCCTGACCTCTAGAGAGAGCGCGCCTCTTATACAAACAGGAGGAAAGGATTCCTCAGTCCAGGTAATCAGATCCTTGAGTAACAAGGGGCTTTTCCCATCAGGGCAGTAGTAGTAGTTTGAAAACACACCAGTCACCTAGAGCCCCCTCTCTGCGGTACTTCTCTGGCCCCCATCACTGCTGTATCTAAGCACCCCATAACCGTTCACGTACTTACCCTCACAATGCCCCCGGGAGCCAGGGCAGTGCTGTTATCCTCATTGCACAGACAGGGAACTGAGAGGCTGTGGTCATACAGGGAGGCATTGCCGGAGCAGGGAATTAAGCCCAGGCTACCCAAACCACTGGCCCATGTTTCCTCTCTACCTACTCCTGAAGAGAACACCAGCCCTACAGTGGCAGCCACGCCATTCCAGGCATGGTGATCACTAACTCGCTAGGGGAGAGAAATCCAGGGAGGTGTGAATCACTGAAGAACCAAACTCAGCCCTTCACATTCTCTGGAAAAAATGTCACCCTGTCCAGGAAATGCAGGCTGTCTGCTGTGGCGTACTATACTGCAGTGCCTATATAATGCTGGTTCCTTATAGGTGTGTTTGAGCATAGGGATGACATCTCTTTAAGGTCCCCTATAAATGCAATAGGCAGATTATATCAGCTGGGTATTATTATTCTTTAAATATTTATATTATGGTAGCCCCCAGAAACCCTGGTCGGGCTCTTTGTGCTAGGAGCTGTACAAACACATACGAAACCACAGTCTCTGCCCTAATGAGTTTACAGTCGAAGAAGTGAAGGGGCGTGTGAGGTTGGAAGGGTAGGCATATACTCAAATAGATACCATACAAGGATTAGGGAGAGACACAACATTTGGGATTCTGTACCTGATAATTATAAATGGATGAAGTGACATCTGCCCTCCCTTGACCCAGCTGATTTCATAGAAGCACCACAGCAGAGCTGGGTCCGGTGGGGACACGTAAAGGAGGGATGAGTAGCGAGCAGCCTTACAGAGCAGTTCGCAGGACCAGCCTTTAAAAATGCACCAGAAAATATTTTGTTTTACTTGTAAACTGAGCCAACCTGCTATGGAATCTCTGCCTAGCACACACAATGCTTAAATTCCCTGCTCGGCTCTCAGACAGTCGGGTGATAGTGAGATGGAGAAACCTAAGATCCACACATCAGATGGACAAAAGAAAACACACACAGAGGAAGGATGGTCCAGTGTTTAGAGCACTAGTGGGCCATTTCGGAGACCCCGCTTCAATCCCCTGCTTTGCCACTGACTTTCCGTGTGACCGTGGGCAAGTCACATGATCTCTCTGTGCCTCAGTTCTCCAGCTGTACAATGGGGTTAATAGCACTGCCCTCCTGTGGTGCTGGAACAATTTGTACAGTTGGGGTGCTGAGAGCCATTGAACCAAACTATAAACCTTGTATATGGTGGAAACCACTTCAAACCAGGGGGTGCTGCCACACCCCCAGCACCCCGAGTGCCAGCGCCTATGCTGCCCTCCCTCACAGGATAAACACATTAATGGTTGTGAGGTGCCCAGAGAGGGCCCACAGACAGTATCCTGGCAATGTTTCATAGCAGCGCTGGCATGGCAGTTCCTAAAGGTTCATCTAATAATGAATTATCCCCATTCGCCCGGCCCACCTGAGGAACACATTAAAATCAGTTCAGATCTGTCATCAGGCAAAGCACCCTGGTGCCTCTCAGCCTCTTCCCAGAGAACAGCTGCAAGCTGGAAGAGCATGCGGGTAATGATATGCAAATGAGAACATCAAGGGCCAACCTCTCTGCTAGAATCCCACCAGTCTCAGCAGTGCTAACACAAGGAGCTGGTAACCTGGGGCCTGGGTTTACTTAGGTCAAGTCTGTAACCTCGGCCCGGGCACATACTCCACCGTGCTAGCTCTCATCAGCTCAGGGAACCAACCTGGTAAATTCCACTTGGCTGCAATCTGCTAAACACGCAGCTTGAAGGCAGAATTAGCATTGTCCAAAGAGCCTCAGTTCTAGGGTTGCCAATCCTCCAGGATTGTCCAGGAGTCTCCAGGTATTAAAGAATAATCTTTAATGAAAGATTATGTCATGTGATGAAACCTCCAGGAACACGTCCAACCAAAACTGGCAACCTTATCCCTGCTCTGTAGTTCATTTTCTTTTCTTTACTTTTCTCCGTTTTTCACTCCTCCTGCCTCTTCTCTTTACTCCTCATCCTCCTAACGCTATGTGGAAAAACTCCTGGCCCATCCAAAGGGGAATGACAGTGCCATCAGCGGTACAAGAGATACGTAAAACACTTCCAGGCCCTACTTCCAACAAGCAGCTTAGCTGTTCTGATGGGCAACAACCAGAGGGTCTCCTAGCATCACCTAATCACCACCCAGAGAACAGCTTTAAAAGGGCAGCAGCTTTCATGGAAGATGCCTGGGGCTGGCTCCCAGCCCACAAAGGGCAAAGCTCCCAGCGGATTGGAAAGCACTGCTAAGAAGGTCTAGTTGTTGGCCCGGCGGGAATTTCACAGTAAATGCAATGGTGTAGGCTCCAACGTGTCTGTTGAACTTCCCCAGGGCCAGACACATGCCAAAGGCCTCAGTGCAGTGAACGGGTCTCTCTCCTCAGCACCAGAACTGCTTGTAGCTCCTTCTGCAAAAGGCCACGCAGGACTGGGACGAGGGACCTTGCATTGTCTCGCCACGTGTGAGGATCTGAGTCCTGCAGAGGGCAGATTCTCTGTGGCACAGCGATGGGGAACAGCTTCCGGGACCCTGCCGAGGAACCTGTCTGCAGGGCCCTCGCTGACTATCAGGTGTGTTTGAGTGTGTGTGTGTGCGGGGGGGTCTCTCTAGAGCTTCTGAGAAGCCTCCTTGGGAAGGAGGGAGCGCCCTTTTTCATAGCACGTGGCCCATTTATACAGTCTCTGGCTCATAAGGGCCCAGTCCTGGGTGGGTGCTGAGAGCCTTCAACTCACAATGAAATCATTGGGAGTTGAGGATGCTCGGCACCTTGCACAAGGCACTCAGTACCCAATAGGATCAGGCCCTTGGATTCTTTACTCGGTGGGGCAGGAACCGTGTCTTCCTGTACAACGCCAAGTGCACTGATAGTGCTTAGTCAACAATCTCCCATGGTGCTTGGGAGCTGGAATGAGCGAAAGACACTTACCCCGGATGTTTCCCAGGTAGAGGCCCTCAACAACCTGAGAAGAGACAAAGAAAGGAGAGATTTCAGAGTGGCCTCAGTGTAAGAATCTGCTGCTGGGGCAGGTGAATTGCAGGATTATGCAATAATACTGATGATGACATTAAACCTTGTGATCATGATGTCACTCAGCCTGGCACCAATCCTGTGGCTGGACTTTAAAAAGTGGGTTGGATCATTTCTGACCCCTACCGTCCTTCCCACCTGTGCAATGAAACCTTATGCTTGGGGGAAGACATGTGGTGGTCTGTGGTGATCCCCAGTTACAGCACTGCACAATGAGCCAAGTATCTAAGGGCTAGGGGTGCTTTCTTCAAAAACATCAGGTTCTGGCCTGTGACAGAGACAGAGCACCAAACTACAAGGAACAGCGGGTCTCCCATTTGGATTGAGGGCAGGTTGTGGTGCAGTTAGTCGATGAGTAACACAAAGGATGCCGTGTTGTTACTGTGATTTGCTTAGTCAGTAGTGTGCTCGGTGCTGTACACGACGCAAAGACAAATACACTCCTGGTCCCAAATGGTTTACCAGTCTGACAGATGCTGAGGTTATGGCAGTGGCTGAGGTATGACAGGGAGTTCACCTCACACTAGCCTGAAAAAGATTGTTGTGGCTCAGAGGGGGTTAAGTTACCTGAAAAACCACACCTGAGGGAGAGGACTGAGAATGGAGCCCCCAGCTGAGCAGGAGCAGGGGCCAAGCATGAGGGCAGAAGAAGACTGCAGCATGGAAACCTGCAGTCACTCTCCCGGCTTAGAGAGGAATGAGGGAGAAACCCAGGGGGAGAGTAGAAGCCCTGGGACACGGGCCCTAAGGCAAGGGTGCACCTATTCAGAAGGGTTGTGGATAAGGAAGCCTGATAGAGACAGAGTAGGAAGCAGTCCAGGGAAACAACGGCAAGGTTTGGGACGGAGCAGACCCTGGCTGCTGATTGTAAGTCCGTAGGCTGGAACCCTGAGTAGTGGGCAGGCCCGGATTCCCCTCTAGCCACAAATGAAGCGGCCTAGCCTTGAACTGGAGGACTGCCAGGAACGATACCCGGACAGCCAGTCCGGTGAGACTTTGAAACCCAGGAAAGGGAACGCTAGAATGACTTGGCCCAGTCCCGAAGAGGAAGCATCCTGAGTCTCAAAGGGGAAGCACTCCAACTCCTGGAGCGTGAGCGGGACTCAGTGCAAATGAGACATGGAAGGGGGCGTCAGAGGTGGAGCTATTCCCCAGACACAGCCACAAGGAGGCGCCCCAGCCATGAGTAGTGAACCCCCTGACACAGGTAGGAGAGAGGAGGGAATAACTGACTTTTTCTTGTTTGTTTCATTCTCTCCTTTCCCAGCACATGCTTCCGTCTCTCTCGAGCCCTGATCCAGCAAACACGCACGTGCTTAGCTGGAAGCCTGAGATTTGTACCATGGCATGAATTCAATGGGAATGATCACAGGCTTCACGTTAAGCACATGTATACGTGCTTGTAGGATCAGGACCTGGGGTTACAAACCCTTTGGAGAAATTATAAGCTATGTGTATAATTAAAAACTATCTTAATTAATAAGCAAACATTTCAAAGACCCTGGGTGTCTTGCCCAACGCCAGTCCGGGAATGCAGAAATGTGGAGTTCAGTCAAACTCAGGCCTTTGACGTTAACACGTTTAGTTTGCTGGCTTACATTTATACACATAGAATCATAAGACTGGAAGGGACGTCGAGAGGTCATCTAGTCCAGTCCCCTGCACTCCTGGCAGGACTAAGTATTATCTAGACCATCCTTGACAGGTGTTTGTCCAACCTGCCCTTAAAAATCTCCAGTGATGGAGATTCCACAACCTCTGTGGGCAATGTATATACCCTGACAGGTAGGAAGTTTTTCTTAATGTCCAACCTAAACCGCCCTTGCTGAAATTTAAGCCCATTACTTCTTGTTCTATCCTCAGAGGTTAAGGAGAGTATTTTTTCTCCCTCCTCCTTGTAATAACTTTGTATGTAATTGAAAACTGTTATGTCGCCTCTCTGTCTTCTCTTCTCCAGACTAAACAAACCCAATTTTTTCAATCTTCCCTCATAAGTCATGTTTTCTAGACCTTTAATCATTTCTGTTGCTCTTCTCTGGACTTTCTCCAATTTGTCCACATCTTTCCTGAAATGTGGCACCCAGAACTGGACACAATACTCCAGCTGAGGCCTAATCAGCATGGAGTAGAGTGGAAGAATTACTTCTCGGGTCTTGCTTACAACTCTCCTGCTAATACATCCCAGAAGGATGTTTGCCTTTTTTGCAACATGGGTGGTTCAGGAACCCAAATGTTAGTGCTGGTCAATACCCCTGGAGCTGGACAGTCTCTGTTGATCCCCAGAGCAGGTCCCTTATGGGCTGTGGCAGGACCAGCTCACCCCCATGTTACCAAGTCAATGCGTCTCCACCTTTACAGGGTGAGTCCAGTTCAACGGGTGAGACAGGAGTTCAATCTCCATGGCCCAATCAGCCCTTGGCCTCCCCACTGAAGCTGCCAATGAGGGGGCCTGCTGAGAAGGTGGCGTTATGAGGACACCTGAGCACCAGGAACTGGTCTGAGAATCTCAGCTCACTTCCCCCAGGTGAGCCACAGTCACACCTTCAGCCATCAACAACCCCGTGAGCTGCAGCAGAAGCGAAAGTTTCCTGTATCCCAATGTCCCGGGCTGCCCACTCTCCTAACATCCAGTATGTTAACCATCCGACGCCGCTAGAACAGGCACCAAAGCTCATCCAACCAGCCAGTGACTCCAACGGGGAATGCGGCCCAAATGCCAAACCAGATCACCCGACCCACTGCCGAGTTCCACACGCACGTCAAGTTGCATGGCAACTGAAACACAAGCAGCACCTGCCGTGACCTTTCAAGAGACTCGGCTTGCCTTTAAATGATGATGAGCCAGGGCTGTGCCAAGAGACGCTGGGACTTTGTTTTGTGTTTCTATAGCAACAACCTCTTGCAAACAGTTTTAAACGATGGCTCTGGGGATGCATCCAGGGCTGAGAAGAGATAGAAACGCCTGGGCTATTTTTAATACTTTCCAATGGGGATATTTCAGCCAGCTTGTTTTGTCTTTGATGCTCTCCTGTTGGTTCCAAAGAGGAGAGGAGATCGCTACGACGATTTACATAGCGTTGTAAACCTTCCATGGCACTTTAGAGAGCTGGGACAAACAATCGGGTCCCTGGGACCCTGGCAAGGTTGCTTCGCACCATTCCAGCATCACGAAGCACTCTTCAAGCTGGCTCAACAGGCTGCAAGAGGATTCTCCTGGGGGCCGTTGCAGCCAGTTAGGAATTTAGGGCAGCTCTGGACCCCATCAGCCTCGGGACCAGGAGTGCACAAAGCCGCCTTTGCCCATACCTCTCTTTGGCTGTGCTGAGCGGCCCGCTGCCGCTAGCACTCAGGTAGTGGGCGAGTGGAGGGATCTGTCAGAAGAGGTAGACAGATGGGTAGGATCCAGCCCACACTCCCTGCCCCAAGGAGCGTGCAGTCTGAATTAGCCAAGCAGAGACCATGGTAACGGACGGAGAGAGCCATGACGTTCAGGTGGCTGCAGTTAGAGTCTGAGGCAGGAAGAGCAGAGAGCCCATGAGCAGCAGCCCGGGGCAGACAGGAAGGTAAATGGAGCAGCTTTTAAGAGAGGTACTGCAGTAGAAGAGCGTGGCCTCCTGGTGCACTGGACAGGGGAGGCTCCTCCAGGTTTGGGGAGCAGCGTGAAAACCCCAGAGGTGGGAATGGCAGGAGGAGAGTGCACCGTGCTCAGGGCAGGAGACGGGACGCAATGGGAGATGGGACAGAAACAGCTCAGTTACTTAGTTGAGCTCTGCTCCTCTAGTGCATCATCAGAAAGGCAAAGGCCAGAGGAGCAGTTACCAAGGGTCAGATGGCCCCGAGGATTGGGGCTGGCCAACAGGGCCTACGGTTTATGATCAATGACTGGCCCTGGCTAGGCTCTGTCTGGGAATGATTCTGGCTATGCAGTGGCTTTAGCTCTCATGACATCAGAGGACTGAACTCTTTGCCCTTCTAAGGAGCTAAGAGAGAGGAGGGAGGAAAAGAAACGAGGCACTTTGTCTTCAAGCACCCTGTTGCTCCTGGTAGAACAGCCGAGCCGGCAGTGTCATCATGACTGATCGCTCCATGCAGCCAGCTGGAGGACCTTGCGAGGACATCGCTACCGTCCAGAATGGATCTCTGCCTCAAGGTCACGCTCTACAAAGAGGCAACCTGAAAAGCCTCACTCTGCTGGGACCTGGCTGAGCCCACAATCAGAGAGATGAGGCAGCTAAGAGGGATTCTGGGGCTGGCAGCTTTGAGTCCCTAACTACAGGCAGCATCTGGCACAGGACGAAACAAACCTGCAGCAGGTGTGAGTCCCCATCCAGCATGAAAACTCCGAGTGCTGGAAAGCAGGGGGCTGGTAGTCATGGCAAAGCTGTATATCTCCTCGGCAACATGGAGCGATGCACAGCTGGGCATCTTCCTGGGGTTGCTGAGAAACACACTGCCTGCCACTTAGCTGGGAACTCGTCCTGTGGGACACCATTTGATGGCTGTTCAGCCCCACCTCACGCTGGGGTGCAGGGCACCCTACCTACTGCCCAGCTGGGCATCTCTCTCTGCACAGTAAGTTGCTAGCCCTCGTGGCTGCAGAGAAAGACAGGAAGCCAAAGAACCTGAAAGGCTCAGAAGCCAGAAGGCAAATGAAAATGAACCAACTTTTATTTTATTTTTTAAAAAAACACATGTGGTAAGCCAATTATCATGATTTGGGGGAGGGGCTGGACTCATGATTTTTGAACATTTGGGTCTGGCAATACTGGTTCCCTTTCCCTGTCTCAGATCATTGCCCTGCTGCAGCCCCTCCTCAAACACTCAGAATGCCCTGTAAGCTCTTGCTTTGATTCCAGTCACCCCACCCGCCTTTGAAGCACCATGAAAGCTGGACCCTGCTTTGATGTATGGTGGGAACAGGGCCACGAGCACATCTGAGGAAGAGGGGCTGGAGGCAGGATTGTAGTATGGAAATAGGGAGTTAGTGTTTGCAGAGTCCTTTAAGATCATATGTACTATGAAAGGCTGAAAATTTTCAAATTGTTTATTTTGTGAATTTTTTTTCGTGTTTTTTCTACCAGTTCTAGTGCGAATTATTGTAATGAACTGTCTAGCATGTATGTGCACCACTGCCATCTACGGAATGAAATCAGAACAGTGCAACTGTATGTCATTGGCCCCATACTGCTAATAACTAACAGAGATTCTCCTTCAGTTAAGATGGCAGGAGTCTACTACTCCTGCTTTTGGAGTAGGAGAATCTGATTTGTAGCCACACTGCTGATTTCCCAACTGATTATGGCACGAAACACAATGTGGTCATCACGTTCCTTAGGGGGCACAGGTTCGTAACAACATTAGGGCTCCTGGCATCCAAATGACAAGACATTCTATGCATAGAAATGTCACACCAGCACATTTAGTGGAAGTGGACTCTAAGTCCAGACCTGCTCTGTCATTCAGTCTGGTTTCTGCTAAATCAGAAAAGTTTGCAGTTTGTGTGATGCAAATATTAACTTATCAGAAAAGCACACAGTCAAACCCTCTACACCGTCTCCCTGGCTTATAAACATTTAAAATGTCATAGAGCTGCTTAAATTATTTAAATCTACTCTCTGTGCTTCTACAAATTATCACTAAAAGCTCCTGATCTCTCATACAGAAGCTTGGATACTAAAATTAAAGCGTCAGTAAATAATCATTCCACTGGCAACTCAGTGCACTTGTTTTCTGTCCTGTAGAGAGGCCAAGATCTCTCCCTGAGGCTGCTGCAACATGAGTCATCTCACTTGTTCAGCTGCTCCCTCCTCTGGCTATGGACACAAAGGGGGGTGCCATGCCCTCTCCTTTTCATCTTCTGGCTTAGTCACTGCTGCAGAGCTAATACCTGCCCCTGGAAACATATCCCTTCCCCAGAGATTCGCCCTGCAACATACCTGTTACCTACACCTCAATCCACTACACCTCAATGCCTTCTTTTGAAAACAGTTCAGATGTATTTTTTACTTAGGACTTCTAAAGTTATTGTAACAATAACAGACAAAGTACAGCTATATTATCCCCATAAAAGTCCAATAATTATGTATAATAAACCCAGTCAGCAGTAGGTAAGGCCTCGACACACCTTAGGGTAGAAAAAAATCTCACAAAAGAGGGGGGAAAATAATTCCTAATCGTTAATCCCACTTTGAACCTGCAGGATCTAACAACACAAGATTTAACAGTGGAATAGGTCTCCAAAATGTGTAAAAATACATATTATTTGATTCTGATGGCTGTATGGAGTTACTGAGCTCTCAAGAGAGTAGTAGAGGACTTGAAAATGGCTCTGAATTAGAAATCGGAGTTGTGTATTAGTGTTGATGCCCTATGGATAACACATACCTACTCCCCTCTCTGGGAGAGAAGAGTGCTGTTAGCAGAGCACTGAATCTGCCAGGGTAGCAAGTCCCCAAATACTCAGCACTGATCTTCCCCAAAGTTTGAGAGGTTTCAGTTCTGAGGTTTGGATTTGGAGCCATAAGACATAAGCCCCAATCCTGAAAGGGTGCCCCCTGCAGAGCTCTTATTGCAGGACCAGGGCCACAGTTTGTCCAACGAGTGACAATTTTGAGATCCAGGCTGTCTTTGGAGAAGTTCTCATAAAACAACGCCCCAGCCTTTCTTGCAGGGACGCCAGCCATCCTGTTTGTGAAACTGGTGTTATACCACGATGCAGCAGCATGAGGACAGGGTGGCGAGAGTCTGTGCTGATCTCTATTTTAGTTCCAGGATCTAATTTTAAATTAGATAAGTCATGCCTCTCCCAGTTATTTAGAGACATGAACAGTAATCAATCCTTCCACTGCCTGCACTAGAGTAACAAACACCCCATAAAAATCTACTTTCTCTCCCAGTGAATCATATCCAGGTGAGAGCAACATACCAAAAATAAATATAACTGGCTAAAAAGTGGGGAAAATACAACCTCACTCCCTCTCACATGGGCACAATAGTGAATTAGGGTTTAATAGGCTAACTGGATTGGTGAGTACTGGCTCTAGTGATGCTAATGGTGTGGAGTTCTTATTACCCCAGGAACAAGAAATGAGGGTCCAGACCCAGTCTAACTTTTAACATTTTTTCCTAATGGTTTTATTATTCCCTTCCAGGAAATGATGTATTTGTATTGTGGTAACACCTAGGAGCTCCAGTCCTGGATCAGGACTCCATTCTGCAAGGTGCTGAACAAACAGAGAAAAAAGACAGTCTTTACCCCAAGGAGCTTACTGTCTACGTATAAGCAACCCAAGGATCCTTGCTTGTTTTAAAAATGATAGTCTTTAAAATCTCTCTTCTTTTCCCAGGGAAAACTACAGTAAGCCTCTAAGCTGTAAGAATCATACAGGGCATAGAAGGGGAAGACTTATCAGATCACATTTAGGGCATCCCCTCTTTCCTACTGGTCAGTGCAGCGGGCTGGAGAGGAGTAAAAGGTTCTTCATAAGCATCAGGGTTACTGCCTCAAATGTAACAGCTGCAGTGTTGAGGTGCATGTACCTTGCTCATTCCAGACCCCATGACAGCTCTTTCCCAAGGCAAAGGGTGCAGGTTTCTTCTCAGTAACCAAGACTCTCTGCAACCAAACAAATCAGGACAGTGAGATCTGCCTCCTCCAAAAGAACAAACCAAAGCTGTGTGTGCTGCTGCCAAGGGGCGAGAGTGGGACGCATGCACTAGGGGGGAGTTTACAGAGCCCTAGCAAATTCAGCTCACCTACCAGCTGCAGCAGCTCTGCCTAGGTCTCAGCAGGACGAGGGAGAACTGAGCACTACAGCCAGTGCAGGGCAGAGTTGGACGAAGGAAGGTTCCCAGGATGTGTGTGGCTCAGGTTTCTCTTCCGGATTCCCTGTCCCTCTGGGGACTCTCGCATGCACACCGGCTCTGAGGAAGCTTTTGGAGTTAGTCATTCACTCATCTCCATGCAGTACTGTGCCTTTCCCCTCTCCTTTGCCAGTCCAGTCCTGGATCTCACCGCAGCAGCTGCTGCTGCAAAGGAAGGTGCTCAAAAACTCTGTGGTGGTGAAGAAATGTAGCACAGGAAGAGGATTTAAATATTTTGATGAGACGCTGTCTGTGCTAGTGCAAGGCCAAAGCAGCAGCAAGCAATCCCTATGCTGATGCAGATTCCTAGGGCATTCAGCAGGACACCTACCCACATGCAGTTGGCTATTATCCCCACGGCTGCTCCTTTCACCTGACAGACAGTTTAAGTCTCCCTCCCTTCCCCCACTACTTTCCCTTCACCATCTGCTCCAGGCATCTGTTCACTGCTCTCCCAAGTGCTTCATGGCACAGCTGAGCTCACCTGGTGGGCAACATTCTGCTAAAGTGCTGTCTGGACTATAACTCCTACAGAACCAATTCGTTTCTCTCCTTTTTTAGGGCCAGATTCTATTCTCACGCAAGCTATAGTCAGACAAATCTCTATTGCTACAATGATCAACACCCCTTTCAAGATCCATGGCTCCTACACATGCCTATCACAACACGTGGTGTACGCTCTCGAATGAACTCGCATAGGAAAATGATAGAAGATAAAAACACCACAACACCTGGGTGAACGCTTTTCACAAAGCAATCACTCTATCTGACCTATCAGTCCACATCCTCAAAGGAAACCTGCACATCTTCAAAAGATGAGCCTGGGACCTTACATTCATAACTTTGCTAAACCCTAAAAATCATGGACTGAAGTGAGACACTGGTTTTATGGCTGATTGTTGTAATCAGGGTTCTAACTAGAGAATTAACCCCTAATGCTGAGTTACAGCCCCCTCCCCCCTTTCCTTTCCACCCTATGACTGGAGGGGTGTTAATGGGCCACTTCACCTTGAAATATGTTAACTGCTGCTAAACAATCTGTTCCACCTTATATTTCCCAGACCTGAAGAGCTCTGTGTAAGCTCCAAAGCATGTCTCTCTCTGTGGAGCTACTCCAGATTTACAGAGAAATACAGTCAGAATTTGGCCCATGGTATTTAAATGATTTTTTTTTGTTTGTTTTGCAATGGGGGGGAAGATGTTCAAGTAATTGAGCACGTATTGGGGGTGAGGGGGGAAAGTGGGTGTTAGATCAATCAACCCCTCCGTGGAGGCCGAAACAAACTCTCTTCTGAAGAGGCGCAAAATTACGTTTCACTTTGAAAGAGTCAGTAGCACACATCAGAGGCCCTTAGCACTAAGAAAAACAAAACAGCAGCAATTCAGCATAGTAGTTAAAACCTGGCAATCAAATATCTACACTCCAGCACGGGATGGAATGTCTGCATTACCCCCTAAATCAGGGGTCGGCAACATTTGGCACGCGGCTCGCCAGGGTAAGCACCCTGGCGGGCCGGGCCAGTTTATTTACCTGCTGACGCGGCAGGTTTGGCCGATCGCGGCCCCCACTGGCCGCGGTTCGCTGTCCCGGGCCAATGGGGGTGGTGGGAAGCCGTGGCCAGCACATCCCTCGCCTGTGCCGCTTCCTGCCGCCCCCATTGACCCGGGACGGCGAACCGCGGCCAGTGGGGGCCACGATCGGCCGAACCTGCCACGTCAGCAGGTAAATAAACTGGCCCGGCCCGCTAGGGTGCTTACCCTGGCGAGCCGCGTGCCAAACATTGCCAACCCCTGCCCTAAATCATCTTCCAAACCAGTTGGATTCTTTGGAAACAATAAAATGGTAGAGACCTAATTCTAATTCCCAAAACAGATGGGAGGAGAAAAAGTGACAATGCCCCTATTTAGGCTGCCAAAAAAAAAAAAAAAAAATACTGAATTGACATGACCCACAAAAGGCACCAACATTGGTTCACAGGATACTGACAGGTGCTTTGAATTTCACGGTCATCATTCTCTTCCAAGTTTAGAGTCAGGAGCAACAGAATTTTGCTGCCAGGTTTACCACTGCAAAACTGACCATACCACACTCACCTCTGTGATAGACATTCCAACAGTGGCAGCTCAGTTTACATAGAAGGAGACATTTCAAAACGCCCAAAGGTGAGTTTGGTACACAACTTCCCTTGAAAGTCAATGGGAGATGGGCATCTGCCTGCCTTTGAAAATCTCCTCCTAATTGTTATATTAAATGCATGTTGAAAGGTTCATTTCCTGAAATGAAGATTGACCACTTGACCTCTGGTAGGGTAGGCAGTGGTAGGCAAGGAAGGGACCAGAAATTATTTGATGTATAGCTTTTTCTCTGACCTTTTTCTCTGACCATCCTCACCCCAGCACAGGAATGCCAAACATGTGACTGGCTTTAGAATCAGGACACCCTCCTGTGAAGGGGAAGCACTGTCTCCTAGTTTGCAGGCAGGGAAACTGACAAAGGAAGTTAAAACCAACTTAAAAAACCCCCACTCAAGTGTGGTACCCAAAAATTAATGTGCACAAACTGAGACCACTTGTAAATATTTTGACCTAAAGACTTGCCCACAGAAATTTTATGGCACAGGTCACTGTTAGGTGTCTCCCTAGGAAAAATCCAGCAGCTACAGGATGTAGAAAGTGATCCCAGAGGTGGCTCACTCCACAATGCCATCAGTACTGATCAAATATCGTGATGTGTTATGGGGCACTTCCCCCTGCCCAGCTGGACACACTGTTTTTACATCTAAATTACTTCACACGTTATGCCATTGCTGCAAGAGAAAGGGTGTGAAGCTGGAATGCATTCAGACCAAGTTTAGGTAAATACAAAGGGATTTTAGGTAAACAGCTCATTCCTATTGGATAAGGTATTACTCATTTCTGAAAACTTTAGTGTTGCTGACGTTCTTCCAGAGATGAAGTGATCCATTTATATGGTCACCCTCTAGGATGAGAGGCTGACTAAGTATTAAATGTGTATATTGAAATATAGTCCTCACCATATCTTGGATATTTCTCTTCTCCCTCAAGTAAGTTTTGTTAATTTGCATTAAAAAAAAAAAAAACCCAACACAGTCCAGGCCCAAGCACAGATGAGCTAATGGCCTCTCCTTATCCCACTTTATTATAAACTTCCCCTGCCCTCCAAAAATGACAGTACAAGTGTGGAACTGACCATGGGTCAGAATGAAAATGGAGGTCAGAAGCTAGACAGTGAACATTCTCAGCCAAGTTTCCTTAAAAAAAAAAAAAGGGGGGGGGGGGGGAGAGGGAGAGGGAGAAATGGAGTTAGATTGAAATCTGTCAAGCTACTGTGTTCTGCATAGTGAAATTCTATCTGTGGGATGAAGCTAGCTTCCAGGAAAGCTGCTGTGGGCTGTGATCTGCTTGTACTGAATGCAGTTTAGATCTTTATGTAGCCATACAGATTTCTGGCTGTGCAACAGAAACACTTTAGATATATTTTCTTCAGACTGTTTCTGTTAAACCCTTGCAACAAGAATTCCAAATGCTTTGTGCTAATGAAAGATAAATCACCACTTAATAGTGGGATTTCCAGGGCCAGTGGCTTAGATAAAATCACTTGGTACACAGCAGCATGAAACTTCACTATTTCAGTAAAATAAGTTAGGATGAGGTCATGTACTGGAGCTTTTTAACCTGCATTTTTAATTTTTGTGTTATTCTCTATAAAATAAGACCCCCTAACTTAAAAATAACTGGCAACACAGGTGTATCATTCCCCTTTACTGAACCCATAATGCTGTACCACAACCCATGACAATACAGTAATACTTAAGACTTCGCCCCTTAGCAAATTGTACTAATCATTACAGCCTGCACAACTGAAAGCATTTAAGATCAATACAAGAAACTTTCAAGTAAACCAGACATTTATTAGCATTTATATTTAAATGGAGTTTGTTCCAGTACATAAGCAGTGAGGTCACATGTAGGTAATGGAATCATTTCAAATTCAAGTGGACAGCAGGTCCAGTAATCCCAGGAGTGATTTTACTTCTTCCATTCGTTCTTGTCGTAGTCCCATTTGGCTGAGAAGCCCTCGATTGGGTTAACTCTCATATCCAGCATTCTCTTGGTCTGCATAGCCACCCATTCCTCAGAGAGGGTGTGAGGAACAGGACCATAAACTGCAATTCAAAATTCAGTTGGGATTTTATTGTGACACAATGACGTTCAATGCCATCTATTTGATCTCATGAAAAATGCACTTTTATCAACTCAAAGCTGATAATGCACATTAAAAGACCCATCCAGTGAATAAGTCCCGTAAAATCTATTTAGTTTCCTGCATGAATTCTAAATGTCCAGTTACGGATTTGTTGCTTGGCAAGGATGCTGTAAGAAGGGGCAGCCTTCTCCCGTACCTCACCTTGTTAGCAGGGAGATGCAAGAGGAGTCCTGCCAACTCACTGTTGTGGGTGGTTCAGTTAGCCACTCTTAACTGCTCTCTGTGATGGAGGTTATCTTTGGGAGAAAGGATCTGAGCTGGGCAGTTCTGAGGGTTAGAGGAACGCTAGGAGCAGCCAAGCATGTTGAGAAGGCTTGGACTGGAGTCTGTTATACGATTCTTCATTTTCTTGTAAATAAAGCCAGACTCTCAGAAGGGGGTGAGTTTTGATTCTATAGTGTGGGGACTGTGTTTTGAAGGAGGAAGGGAAAGCTGTGTGATCACTGGTACACGAATATGGTTTCCCCAAGCACATCTGATTAAGATTCCGGGATGGTTAAGCTATTTACCTGCTTAAAGCCAATAGGAAAGAACCTTGTAGAAACCAGTATGGCTTAAGGTTTCAGCATTTCCTAAATCACAGTGTCTATCAGCATCATGCAAGATTTGGAGTTCTAAGCACAGTTTATAGTAGGAAAACTTTTTTTTTTAATTGAAAATAGATGAGCTAGTTTGTAAGATTAAACAACATGTTGTTCTTACATGTTGTTTACTTACC